CGGTGGCTTCACTTGCGCTGCAGCATAGAGATCATACATACTAACTCTAGAGGAAAAGGTCCGCCATTTTCCCATACATTCTGGCTGCCGCAAGCGGCGGATCATGCAGGCAGACCTTCTGGGTCCCAAACACGGTTACATCATCAGAGCAGTTTCGTGAACTTCAACAATTCATGAACTTACCGGTGGAAAGATATTCACGTTCCTTTCGAAGCTTTCTTTTTGAAAAGCGCGCAGATGTACGGCCTCGCGTTAACGCTAAACTAAACCATATACCCGGCTTCGCCAGTGGGGCACGGCTGGGCGCGGTTGAGGAATACGAAACTGCGCAACCACCAGATTTCCGAGATTTCGACAGAAGGGAAGTTAATGCAGCGTAATGAGTTTATTGCTTTTTATAAGCGTTAGAATAGCTCATAATTTAGTTTACAACGTTAAATTATCACTGTTTATATTGCTAAGAGTTTTCACTCTTCGCGTTACCATGGCAACGTTGCTTTCTTTCTCTCGTGTTTTGTCGCTCTCTTTTGCGTTCGTTCACTCGGGACCCAGGATGTCGGCGCACGGGATTTGCCACTCCTCCTCACCCACCTTTACCCCCCTGCGCTGCAGCGAACAAGCGGGGAAGCGCGATCCAGCAATTGTCATTGAGATCAGTGGAAGTAGCCGAGAGCTTCACCCCACTGGATCTCTCCGGAAGCTGACAGAGCGGCCCAAGTGACTTCCGTCTAAATCGGCGGTGCGCCTGCGCGGCGAGGTGGGAGAGATCGGCGGGCCGGTCGGGTCGTGGAGTCGGATCTGTTCGGGTGCGTCGGTTGTTTACTCTGGATTGTGACGGCTCGAACGCTTCTACCTCGCGTAGATCAGGGATAAAGAGTCGGGAATGTGGAGCGTGGCAAATCGTAAGCGCTGACGTCTGTGATCGTGAGAGGAAGAACGAGAAAAAGAACAACAGAAAAGCCGGAGGCAGACGCAAGGTTAGGCCTATTCATTCTGCAGCCAGTGATTGTTTACCTTTTTACGCTGCATTCCGTCGGCGTTTTCCCGTGAAATAAAGCAAGAAATGGTTAGGCAACGACCGCGCAAGTGATGGTTTGTTACATCTGTGTTTATTGAAGTCGTACTACAAATCTGAACTCCACGCTGGCAATCCCTGTCCGTGCCCCGCCGCTTCGAGGCGGCCGAAAGGTATATGACGGTGCCGAACGCGGACGTCTTCGTTATTTGTGACATGGGTGCCGCGGTACGTATAATTTCGCCCGGCCTGTGTCGCGTGTTACTTCTGCAGCTAAGCAGTGACAGTCGTCACTGGTCGTTGGAAAGATCCGCCGGCTGAGGCGTTGGTGGGCTGGTCAAGTTCAAGCAGCGGCCATTTTGTACGGCGGAGGGAGAAGGGGTGGAAGGGGTGTGGGGGAGGTCACTCCAAAAATGCAAGTTTATCTTCCCCTCGTCGATTCGGAGCGGGTCCCACGGAGTGGAATTTTGCCTCCCTCGCGGATTTTGGAAAGCGCTCCAGATCTACGAGTGGAATTCACCGCATCACAGGAAATACTTTCATAGAGTCCAATGGTGAGCGCAGCGGGAATTCCAGCGGCACACCACCTGGGTTTGAAATTGGGGCACCGGTTGGTACCACGCGGTACCAGTGTTCTGCAGAACCACTGGAACCAGCCGGTTCCGCCTGGATCTAAAATTGGGCAGCAGTTTGTATCCCGTCTGGAACTGCGTGGTTCCAGGCTGGATACAAACTGGTGCCCCAATTTTGGGTCCAGGCGAAACTAGCATTTTTCATTCCGGCCTGTATCTGACATTTTCGTACGGGATGGCCCAGGCCGGGGGGGGGGGGGGGGGGGGGGCACGAGCCCCGATGCCCTCCCGAAGTCTACGCCTATGACCTGATTCTTCCAACGGATGAACTCCTTCACAGCGGAGGCGATGTAGCCAGATTAGTTCACATATGGATCGGCCAGATCGGCTTCGGCAGCTGTCGTGCTCAGGAAGCAATGGTGAAGTACCGTACGGTGCCGCAATGCCGCAGTTCTGCGACCGACCCAAACATCAGCTTCCGCATTTACCCCAAGGAGGAGCAGCTTTCGAGATGAAGACTTCGTCTATGCGGTTGGAGCGAAGATGTTTGGTAAGAGTTCTCAAGTTATTTCAGTGGACCTCCACAAAGGGGGGGGGGGGGGGGGGGGGGGGTATTTTGTTGGCACCCGTCAGAGATCGACGCTCTCGCATTTTGCACGTAAGCTACAGACACGAAAAGTTTCTGCAGAGAGTGATACCACGCATGCGTGCATCTTAAGTGCTTAGCACTGCTAGTTTTCCTGTGCCACGATGCCCCAAAGCCACGCCAGCAAACAGAGCAAAGCTGGTGATCAGACGGCCGAGATCGACACATGCTCGCGCTCCGTTGCGAACAATTTTTTTTCTCGTCGGGCTGGAAAAAAAGGACACTCGCCCCAGGAACCATGCCGTCCCAGAATCTACCTTTACGGCTACTGGACAAGCCCCCAAAGCTGCGACAGCCCCTGAAGCCGCGGGGAGGTGTGAACACATGCAAACCTCGCAGCGAGTGCTCTCATTTGTAGGGAACATTCGTGGTATCAGTGGATGCTGTGTGATAACCAGGTTTTAAATATTTGGCTCCAGCATACCTGTACGTTTTTATGCAGTCATCACAAGATAGAACATAGTCGTGTCTATTTCAGTTCCAGTGCTGAGCTGTAATTTTAGGGTTCTTTTTTTTTCACTTGGAATCAACAGCCAAGGATGACCTGCCAGCAGCAGTTACCTTGGCAGAGCTGAACTCCGAGGAAGCCGGCACCAGTGAGGGTTTAGTTAAGCAGGACCTACCAAACCAGGATGCTGATGCTGCAGATCCCATTGAAGAGGAGAGAGTAAACATTGCATGTCCAGTGCGAGAATCATGTCAGCATAATTCTAGTTGACACCACAGTTGTTTTCAATGTTTCAGGTCTTCAAGCTGAACTTCACAGCGTGAAGAAAGATGTTGGAAGTCAAGCCGACACCCTACAGCTTGAGAAGGATCAAGTAGAGTCACTAAATAAGCTTTATTTAGTGACACTATACTCGTTTCACCTTATGTTGTGCCGCAGCGAAGACTAGAAGCGCGAGCTCATAGTGTTGGCAGCGAGATGTGCCCCAGAGCAAGGAGCTCGTGCTTGTATCCTTTCCTGCGGTACAACACAAGGCGAAACAGAGCATAGGATCAAGCGCTCAGGATAAAAATGAACAGACTTTTTTTCGATTGGGAAAGCCACGAAACATTGCAGACTGCGTATCTGTGTGCTCTACATACTACCAAACCATGATATGGCCTTGCTATATGAATACTTATTAGGAGGACTGTGCGTGGCAAGGTCTGCTTGGAAGCCTAGTTTGGAACATCCACGGTAAAACACAAGGGTACATATCAGTCTGTGTTGATGACTCGTGTGGACTGCTTGTTCGAGGTTGGGAGTCTCTCGCTTCCTTTTGACACTCGTGGTGCCTAGGGGATTTCTTCCGCATTTTCCTAGCAGCTCCGACACGTGTAAAGTCAGGTAAAGTGTTCACTAGGTTCGCCGAACCTCAAGATTTGCCATTTTTACTCGAAATCCCGATCAGCAGCTGAACCTGCAAGCCTCAAACAGCACCTAACCTCCTCTGCAACCCCGTCTACTTCTGCGTGATAAAATCTGTCTATGGTCCCCGTCACCACGACAGCGAAGCGTCTACCGAATAGGTGCACACGTGGGTGCCTTGTCTAAGCCAGCAACAGATATCATTTTCTGAATGCCATCTACCAAAGTTCACACAGGAAAGTTGACCAAACCTGGACGTGCCGGTTGCATGGCGAGCTTTTGGCAGTTGTGGCGAGGTTTGGTACAAGTTCGGGCCCGAGATTATTATCCATTTAGCCTTGTGAAGTAAGAGGTGACCACGCGTGACAAGGTCTGCTTGGAAGCCTAGCTTGGAACATCAAGCTAGGCATTCAGAAAACGGCACCAATTGGCGGCTCCAGATGCTGCGTTTGGATGCGCTTCCATTCAGCAGACACTTTGTTGCCATAGTGATGGCGACCATTGCAGACGGCCTTTATCATGTGGAAGGAGATGGTGGTGTGGCGACATTGGTGCACTTTTCCACTCTTTTGCCGTGAAAAAAAATTTCAGATGAGGGCTTAATGCAAATGGCTGCTTTTCTCCAGCACCTAATATCTTGATCAGCCTTACATAAAAAGCACATTTTTTATTTAGCTATAAGCCAGTATTTTTTTTCCCCCTGGGACATGGGGCTAAGTTGGCAAACTGCCTTACAAACTGCTGAAGCTGCAACCTCTGGGTTCTTTTGTTATCCTATGGAAATCCTAACTGAACCCAACAAACACTCCTGAGCAGTGACTGCCACGAGGTTCTTTCTTACAGAGGAGTGATAAGACTTCAGCCTGCATTTTCAGTTTTTGAAAAATAATTAAAAAAAAAATTTGACCATAAAAAATCATAAAAAGAAAAATAAAGTGAAGTTTAAGCAAGGCGGTTGCAGCGTTCGAATCTCGTCTGGCCCTTGTCTGGGTCTGGGAGGGGGGGCCAAGGCTTCCTTTCGTCGGCCGGTCATCCCTTGCAAGGGCTGGCTGGTAGAGGGGTCATGAAAGGGTATAGTGGAGGTGGAGGACCTGGGACGTGGTCCCAGACAGTCCTTTCCTCGGGCTACAGAGCTCATCCCAAAACAACCAGGAAGACTGGAAGGATAAGGAAGAAACTAAAGAGAAAGAGCTTGTCCTCTTTAGTTTCTTCCTTCTTATCCTTCTTCCATCACAACACACATAATTAGAGTGACCCTGTACCCAAATAAGGTCATGGTCTTAGAAAACTGCCAACTTGGATCAAAGAGCCGAGTATTTGCAAAATTACAAATGAGTGAAATATGTGAACTAGAGGAAGGAAGGTAAAGAGTGTATAAGACATGAAGCTGCAAGTCAAGTCAACATAAGCTCATCAGTTTTTCTTTTTTTTTATTAGCCTAGAACGTTAAACATTCTTCAATTCATTTACAAATTGTACCCTATGTTGTTCGATGCCCCTACGAAAAAAAACAAAAAGAAATTACAACCGCAAGGTTTGCTCTGCATGCAACATTTGGACTCTGTAAGCATTTGTGGAGTAGAACAATAAGAAAACAGAGTTCAATATGTCGGCTATTACAGCAGAATGCATACAGTAGGCGTTTTGACACCCCGTCTCAAAAGGCGTACGTGCGCAACATGTTCGACTTGATATGGACAGGGCACCTCTGCCAAAGGGCGAAACTGCAATGCCTCAGCGCTGCGCAAGCAGCAAGAGCAGCAGACCGATCTACCATATTGATCCGGCAAAGGGGAAGGAAGGAAAATGAAATGAGAGTGGCTCAGCAAACCAAAGAATAAGTTCCTCAGCAATCTAGAATGCTTTTTCATTGAAAAAGAGAACACAAAATAACAATGCATCTCTGTTGTTTTCAGAAAATTCTAAGCAGTGCACACTGCGAGGCTAGGCAAGATTAGGTATCTGCTCGATACCTTAGAGCAGATATCGCAGAACCCCCGCAGTTATGAATCTAGATCGGTCCACCATTCTTGCTCCAGGAAGCCGACAACGCTGCGGTCTGTCCCATTAGCCGCACAGATTGACCTGTCTCAGGTTAGGTGTTTTGCATGCGTACGTACGACAACGCTGAAAATAGTCCTCTTTCAACGTTGGTACCAACAGTTTTAGTTGATCGTCGGTTATCCACACAAGATGAGAGCAAAATGAAGTGTCAATGAAGTAACTCGCGCAATATTAATAAATATACGATAGTGTGACACGAATAAGCTAGCCAAGTACAAAATGCAACAAGACCTCAATCCCATCACCCTTGACAACAGCACTGGAAGACTACATGTTCGATTTGCAGACTCAAAAAATGTCCTTCACGAGTAGGGATATGGCATGCCCCAAGCTTGGAAAATTCTGTTATCAATAAAGTGCAGAGAAGAAAGGAATATTTCTCTCCAAGGCAAATCTGTCTGGAGAAAGCAGCCACTTTATAAATACTCCCTTCCGGCACAAAAATGACAAAGCTTAATCTCCTTTTTTTTTTTTTTCTTCTGCATTATAACGTGTTGGTTTACGGGTTCCCAGTCAAAGAATACTAAACTCGGCTGAGGTGCCTGCAATTTGTCGGAGGCTCATTTCGGAAAGTGTGCCACGTAACCGAAATTTTATTGGCGTGTCAAAAGATAAGTCTGAGTCTCCTTCGCCCGTAAGAACTGGGAAGGCGAGAAAAACAAGTGTTGTTAAATCGTATGGGCAGAATAAAAACTGAGAAAGCAGGAAGAGTACCTCTGCATTTCTGCACTCGTACAGACACCATTATGTCCCCTCACTCGGAGGTACGAAGATAAAAACAACGGCAACGCAAACCACACGGTCCCGTGGCTCCCGCTGAAAACAACACCGCACGTTGCCACTTTTTGAAATTAGCAAAAGCTTTCACAAACAACTGTAAGAGAAATGATAAGTGACAATAACAAGTTGCTATTTCTTTCATCCAGAAGAAACAAAAAGTTCACAATGTATGAAGCACACGAAATTCCCAGACACCCACCCTGTAGCTGCCACCGTCCGTCATCATCTCGTCACTTTAGGAATCGGCAAATAAACAAAATAAAATAAAACACTTTCAGACATGTTTAACTTGTCATTCAACATACAATAGAAGCGCAACTGCAGCAACACGCAAAATAAAAGAATTTGCACACAAGCTCACAGTCTCGGTAAAAATGAGCATCCTCTGCTTACCTAAATGTTTGGTGAGTGATGCAACAAACCTTCCTATACGCTTAGCGCTGCCGACTGAAACGAAAGAATGGTTCACTCAGAATATGGAGTGCAGGTTGCCTGCTCCGCCTGTGCAGGTGCGTTCCTATTGGTCGAAATAAAAATAGTGGGGGAACACCTTTATGGACCAGCTTGGCTCGGCTGCATGCAATGTTTCCAAAGACCTGCATGCTTTGTTGCAAAGAGTTGGGACTAGCCTTTTCCTAAAATATTGATGGTTTTTTGATGAATGCTGTGGGAACCGCGAGTGTCCAGTGCCCCTATCTAGGCCTAGCACCTGCAGACCACGGAGGGCCGCTGTGGCGGTGCCTTCCCGGATACGAGGCAAGGCTGCGCTCCTGGAAGAGGGCGGCGCCTCCCTCGCCCTTTTGGGTGAATGTGCCCTGGCGCACCCTTAGGAATGATCGTGGACGCGACCCCTCTCCGGGATAAGCCAGACCACCTACCCCGGGTGCGTCCATTTCCAGCAGGCTAGATAAGCTGGCCCCAAAACGGTGGCCCAGGCTCTCGCCGGGGGAGGCTCTGGTCCTCAGAGCCTCTACTTCCTTCTTTGCAGCTTCCCCATTCCCACGAATCTGCCTAATACGGTAACATGGGGCCCTCTGGGTGAATCCCTATCGGAGGGTGGCGCCCACCTTTTAGTCTTTCCTTTCATCGTTAGCCGACATGCAAAACATGCTGGCACGTTTACCGACAAATGCGTCGTTCTATGGACCCACTGACATGCCTTTTAGTTCTATGTGGTACCCCCTCCAAAGGGGAAACCCACAACGCATGACCAAGTTTTAAGGAAGAACGGATCAGCTTTCCTGGGGTTCAAACTCCATCGAGTTCCCCGAAAACGCCGCATCAATGCCTCCGTTTAAGTTTTTTTTCTTTTTCTTCCACTGTTTTTCCCTTCTTCCACTCCACAAGCAGGCAGGAACTATACCCGCAAGAAAATGTTTCATATCAGGGAAGCACTTCCCCGCTCTAATGTGCACCAACCCACTCTTGCACGTTATATTACGGACAGAAAAGTTGCTCGGACTAACTACTTCAGAAGCAGCGCAAGCCACCTGTGTGTCACTAAATCCTCTTAGACCAAACGAGAATAAAAATAAAATAAAAAAAGGCCCAGCTGGCTCGAAAGCACCAAAAAACAGCGAGCAAATCAAGTATCGCTACCGACTGACTTCACTGACGCGGTCCTTTTTAGGCGGAACATCGTTGTGCAGCACTTGTCTGCTGAGACAACTGGCAGTGTTTGTAAAACAAGGAATTCATCTTCTGTTGCACAGAACTTGAAGTGCGACAACCGAAACAAACAAACAAATTAGGACCCATCTGATGGTCGAACACTCTTGCACCACTATATGTACCAAGTTGATTGTTCCAACCCTTTTGACAAGCAGGGCAGCTGTTTTTTGCTTTGTCTTGTCGTCTCACAACTCCTACAAGAATAGAATTTGCAACAGTTAACAACAACCTTCTCAAGGCACTGCAAAAACCAAAATGACTCCTAAGCTTCCAGACAAAACGAACAGAGGTTGCAAACCTAAGACAGCGCGAGCATTTGATTTTCTCGAGCCCTGTCAGTCTCCGAATAATCTTCGATTTCAATCCTTAGCCTTTCATTAAAGGAATTGAAAACATAATTTTTCCTTCGAAAGATGCTAAAAAAACGCCAGATATTCACACGTGCACACACTAGTATCATTCACACCCACGCAGGGATGCGCCCCCATAACCATACACGCGCTCGTTTGAAACAATTTTCACTTCTCATGCATAAAAAACGAAGCGTGCAAGACATCACAAAAGGCAGTGGACTATAGCCGACGTTAAGAACTGTCGTCATCAAAAGCAAAGCCTCAAACACACCAGCACCAGTCTTTTTTGCCAAGCTCCACCGTTAAAACTCCGCTACTCAGCTTTGTCCATTGAGTTGCATTGAACAGTTAAGAACTGTCTCGAACTGTGGTAAATGAGATTAAATTTGCAACTGAAAATAAATGCCAATTATAGTCGCTGAGAGAATTTGCTTCCTTCAATGTAAGGTTTTTGATTTGATGTACACTGTACGCTGGTCATTATTCATTAAATGGTTAAGATGCGAAAAGAGTTGCCACGATTAGTCTTGGAAGACAATTCCAGTTTGGAACATTTTCCCGAAAGACAACCAAAGCGATTACCAGAAATGGTAATTCCTCTACTACCGTAGAATACCGCGCATCCACCCATTCCATATTAAGCGCCCATTCCCAAATTTGTAAGATCTGAAAAAATATGCACAATGCATCAATGCATTGACATGTAAAACTGATGACTGGACAAGTGCCCATCCCCCATTTTTTCGCAATTATCTCTAAATTTCGGTGGGCGCTTGCCCGGTATTTTACGGTATACGGTACCTCATTTGTGTCCATTCATTTGCAGGCTGAAAAATGTTTGGCAATGTACTATGCCAGCAATGGTTGGCTTACAGCCGATTGCTGATGGCTTACAGCCAATCACCGAGTGGCTTACAGCCGAGCGCCGGATAGCTTACAGCCAGCCGCTGATTGCAAAAGACGGACATTGACAGAACCCTGGTATTAAGAGCAAGCAAGATGGCTGTAACCCCATACAGGTGTGAGTCGAGACAAGCGATCTCTCCGTAACAGTTTCAGACTATCGCATCGAGGCAGCACATTAGTGAACGTCTTGGGGAGTCCGTTTCGACCCGTACTGACACATTGCTAATCGAAAATAAAGTTCACACAACCCCTCCCACCCTCCATTCACATTCGAAACGGCTCGACGGTGCAACGGAGGCTATGAGCACAAGCTTGCAGCTTGGGAAAGGAGGTTCTGCCACACGCACGTCCACGTTGCAGGCGTACGCTCCGAGGCAGCAACGAGTCTCGGGCTCGTAGCTTTCGCCGCACGGGACGCAGCCAGAAATAACCTGGCAAAATACACACTTCCCCTAGAGGAACCTTTCGACCGTCGTGCCTCATAAGTTGAGGCTGCGGCGACGCGGCTAGACGCGAGGGAGGGCTCTTTTGTTGGAGGGCCGCGGTCTTGGGGGCGACTCAACGACGCCCGGACGGAATCTTATCTCTCTGCGTAAGCTCATTTTCTTTGTCTCTAGGAGGATCCGTTGAAGTCTTTGTCCGACGTGGGTGCGGGAGAGTATCCTTCCGCCGGGCGTTTCCGCTTGAAGAATCCCAGCTGCAAGAAACAACAGGCACATATTTATTGAGACCTATATACAGGGGGGGTTCGACAGTCTGTTGACCCTTCCAAGGGACGGTATAAACCTAAGCCCTTTCTTTTTGCGAAACATTGAGTAGCGATGCGGGTCATTGGGGCATTTATTACGACAGAAAAACGAGCTGAAGGAGAAGGGACTAAAATTGTCATCCAAACCTGGGATCTACCGATTACTGGTTACGGATGTTAACAACTACACTACCCAACCACGTTCTTTGGCGGTTCCCATAATTGGGAGATCCAGGTTTGGACCCCAGCCCCACCACACATTGTTCCTCGGCTGTTTTCAGACTTTGTTTAATCAGCACAATTTGTCCTACAGCACATCCGGATTGCTTAAGGTTGGTTCACACACTTGTGACTGCTTACGACTGCCGTGCAGAAAGTTGTGAACAGTCACAGCAGGCTTAAGACCGGTTCTTGGTCTCTCTGGTCGTAAGCAGTTGCCAGTGTGCGAACCAGCATCTACCGCCAGAGGTGCCAAAAAGACGATAAAAATTTTCTCGACAAAATGGATAACTGGGCGAGTTGGTACGTATTCATATCAAAACAATGCAACTGGACGTGGACAAAGCAAAAAACTGGACGAAACAAACACAGCGTTCGTTTCGGTCAGTTTCTCGCTTCGTCCGTGTCCATTTTTATTTAATTTATCTACTCTCTGGGCCTGAGAACAAAAAGAAGTGTAGCACTGTGAGACAAACACACAAGTAAAAGAATGAAAAGGTAGAAATGCAAAACAGGTATGACGCATCGTTTAACAAATTAGGAATTGCAATTATAAAACTAGCGGTGTTAGTCATTGTAACCATCACTGTGCGAAGGAAATTCCAATCAATGGAGATTTTGGGCAAGGAGGCAATAATTAAAACGTAGATGCGCCGCCCACGGGGATCCCAACCTTTAGTTGATAATTGGCGCGCAACAATACATAGGAAAACTCTGTTAATTTACGCATGTAGAAGCGCTGGGTCAGAGTGATAAATGTTGTGAAACAAACATAGGCAAGACTTTTTTCTACGAAGGGAGGGATTACGCGAGGACAGGGTTTGTTTCGATGCGACAACTTTTCTCCGACAAAGGTTAGGTACCGGTTGTGTACACACAACTTCTGATAAGGTATGCAGCCGAGACGGCGCGCTGCAGAAGCGAGAGACGGGGAGGGAAGACGAACCTTGTAGAGAAGGAAGATGACCAGGAGCAAGAGCAAGATCCCGGCGCACACGGCCAGGATGATGATCCAGAGGGCGACGCCTTCCGACTTCTGGTACAGGCTGGCGTCTGGGTAGGCCCGCGTCTCCGCCTGCGCACAAATGGCGTCCGAGGTGAACTCGGCTCCCGGAGTCTCGCCATAAAACAATCGGCAAAAGGCTCCTAAACGCTCGAGGAATTCCGGAAGAATGTGTCTGGTCTCTGCACTGATGCAATGAAGCGGTACAAAAGCCCTTTGTACACAATAATGCCCGTATTGGGGTGTGTTTGGCTCGTGGTTGTGTGTGAATGGCAGCTGCATTCCGTACCTTCGGTTACTTGAAGCGTAATCTCAAATCTGCGCTTTCTTTGCAAACCATCGTATGAAACTCACCTGAAATTAGAAAATGCATCCGCTATCTGGTCATCGAACTTAATTGAATCTATTCAAAATTGAGCTGCCAGTTTCTTTCGTCGCCATATTTACGTTTCGACAGCCCGTCATTAATGAAAGAAAATTGTTTGATTTCTTTGCTAGAAATGCGCCGTACAATTTCACTTGTACGTTTCATTTGCAAATTATGTAACAACTCCAATCGCACATCTATCTTGCTTCTTGAACCCATTAATAAGGAATCGCGTTACACTGGAAGTTTCGAACATATTTTGGGGTTAACATTAGCATTGAATAACTCTTCCTTGCCTTTTGCCACCAAACTCTGGAACAATCTTTTCGATGCTGTGGTTTCTATTACAGATCCAGAAAATTTCCACTCAGAATTAGCAACCATTTTCATTACATAATTAACACCCACGTGTTTTAATAGACAATATGTTTTAGGTTGCGATATAAAATATCCGAGAGTCACATTTATTTTGTGCATCTATGTGCTTGCGTTATATTTACTTGCATTAAAAGCCCAAATTCTATAAATATGTATAAGTTTTCCTTGTCAATACATCCTGCAGTGTGTGCTCTTATTTTTTTGAATAATTTAATTTTTGCCTCGTTAATTTTTTATTAAGCTGTACAGCTGCCCCCATGTAATGCCAAGAGGCTTTGGGGTTTTTTGAACAAATAAATAAATGAATAGATGGCTTAAACCTGCTGACAGGCAGACGTGGCAGGGTAGCGTGGGTGCTCCCCCACCACTCTTTGCTGTACTAAAGGTGTCTCTCGCGTGGAAGGCGCAACATTTAATTCAACTTTATTTCATTAAGTCAAGCCGTTTTTCTTTAAAACTTTTATCACGCTGTCCCTGATGACATTCGATCAAGAGGAACAACCTCCCGATGATGATTATGAGATGCATGTTGCCAATGCAGACCCAAGAACACCACAAGATCTTTTCAAGATTCGGTTCTCGAGGCCCGACAGGTAAACGATTGGGTCGGTGTCAAAATGAAGACGCGTTGCGGAGCTCCTTTGTGACAAAATCCCATAGGGTAACGACGTGGGTATTCTGAGGCTGTAGTGCGCCACGGCGCTGACACTCCTACGTAATGTATCGAGACACTGACGCAGTAAAAGTTTTCTGACAAAAAACTCTACCATAGGCAGATTAATCTAAAGAAAACTAGCAACGGTCAACTCGGCAGTGTTGATGAACGAAAAAAATGGGGCGAAATCTCTGCTGCGGCCATGCTGATTCTCAAAGAAATGCATTGGCATTTCACGCAGCGGTTGTATATAACGAAGCGTGGTGAATGCTGCCTCGCTGCACTTTTCTGCGGGGTGAACATTCTCGAAACCCCTCTTCTTCCTGGTGCAAGATCAGGTCACTTGGCGTGTGCGTGAAGGACGCCGGTCACACGGGATTGGCTGGTTATAGACAGCGACAGCATTATGCAATGCTTAGCGACCGAGGTGCAGTGGGGAACGGTGGGGTTGGGGCGTACTTTGGCTGCCGGCGGGGCGCCGCCAGGCGGCGTGCACGGGTGGCCCAAGGTGGTTAAATAGTTTGCATTCGGCCATCTGCAGACTGTCGCCGCAAAGCAGCTTGAATGGGCGGGTGTTAACTTGCGCCCCAGCGATACACCCGCCGTCCCCCACTGCGCTGCGCCTAAATTGGTGAGGGGGGACGTCGCTGACGATCTTCGGTTGCTGGGTGTTACGTCGGGGCGTCCCTCCCTATGAGCGGCCAATCCAGCGCGGCCTCCGCCGCTACGCGTCCTATCGCCTGGCCTCTCGAAATGTGCACCCCGCCGTCCTCTGTTCGCGCTTGCAGAAGGTGTTTCCTAGCCAGTTTTCACGGCCAGTGGGGCTGTGGCGCCATTCTATGGCGACGTTGCAAACTGTAGACTCCAAAACAAAAAAAAAACAGCCAGATTAACAGATTAATTGAAGGTTTGATTCTGCTATGGTGCCTTAGCACTAACCCATTGAGCTCCAGAATTTGCACCCGTAGATGCCACAGAATGCAGTGCTCTGGGAACAACGAGTGGTTACACCAAAACAGACTCGTCAATAAAGTAAAACTCTCCACAGCTGGAAAACAAATTCTGTGCAGTGCAAGCCAGACTGTAATCTTGTCTCATCTAACAACCAGAAATTCCCTTTCGAGTGCACAAAAAAGTTTCCTTCTTTCCCAAGAGACAGAGAGATGAAAGTCGCATACATGCGCGAAGTCGTCTTCGGGTCGTTGTCGCACTTCCAGAGAAGGATCGAGTTCAATTTCGGCAGATGAGAAAATGCTGACTTGGTCCACCGCTGCATAATCCTGCAAGTCAAAATCATGCAAGTTTAAGAGAAATATCCCTAGCTCTTTGCTACAGTACACAAAGAAGTAACAGCAATAGTTGTCATTGCACGCAGTAATGCCTACTTTGATGCATATCCTACAGTTTTATTTACTCGATCACACTCAACACAGCATCGTGGTCACTCAAGTTTGCGGGAAAGGGAACCAACTGCACACGAGTCAACGTCCCTGTCCAAGACTAAATTGAGAGAGGTACCGTTACGAGTGGTGTTCTTTTCATTTATTTACAAAAAAGACCAGCAGTGCCGAAGCATTATACAGCAAATGCAGCTCTCAAGAACAAAACGAAATGCACAATAATATGACAATAATACAATATGCAGTAAAGGCTGTCAAGAAAAGAAACACAAAAAGTAAATGTAAAGAACATAAGTTTTGGGTGTTGCATTACATCCGACGATACACGCGAACTGAGCTATAGGTGTGGAATGTGTAGTACCACCCCCTGCCAACCGTAAAAGTAGAAGACACCGCAGCCTTGCAAGAGTCAATTGCATGGGCCTTGTCTAGCATCTCGAAGTGCTACCCACATGAGTGCGCGTGGAGCGGAGTTTTCTGCCTGGCTCAACGCCGCCGCCGCAAATGCAGATGGGAAGTCTCTATAACGGCTATTGCCGTAAAATGTTGCAGATTAGCTTAGGCCTAATCCGATACCTGCACAGGTAACAATCTCATTTTTAGAGTACATCGCAAGGTCTACAAGCCCCTCGCAGAATTTCCTAATTGCGCAGCTGTCGATCTTGAAGGTTTTGTACCTACAGCATTGGCAGCAATAAAAATGCATAGCAATTTGCTGGACCACTGTGTTGCATGTGAAATGTGTGGCAATTACGCTCTTGGCGCTCTTCATTGGTTAGTTTGGTGACTGGCTTAACGCGGAGTGACTCAGCAGCATTTTCTGGAATGGAGATATTGGGGCTAATTCAGGTTCTAAAATCTGTGACAGGGCATGAAGCTGCTATCTGCCGAACGCAGAGCAGATGTCCCGCAAGGCAAATGGTGGCGGTGTCTGAAATAGGGGGTGTGCAGTCATCGCCTGGCTCAGCCAATTGGCATCGAGACAATCGGCGGCTTTGCAAACTTTTCGGACACCGATCCCCCAGCGAGGCAAAGAATGCTTTACAAACTGCACAAACCCAACATTACGAATTCAAGAGCTTGCATCAGCATTGAAGCCCAATTCCTGTTCAGTCTACACGCTCAGTCTTTTCACCACTACCCCCCTCTCTCAGTCACTTGTCCGAGATTCCCCGCAGCAAAGTCCCCCACCTCGACGAGCGTGGCGTTCCAGAGCCTCGCGTTGATGGTGATGGTGGCAGACAGCTGCTTCTTGAGGTTGCGGATGGTGCACCGGAACTTGAAGCACTTGGCACTGCCTCGGTCGCACTTCTGCACGCACCGACGGGGCAACATCAATTAGGCTCGAGGAAGAACAGCACTCACCATTTGGCAGCGTCTACCTTTCCTAGGCAACTGCTATCTACCGCAATTTGCGGTCTAATTGCGACTTGCAATTTCACAATTTGCGGCCTAATCGCAGCTGCAATTTGCAGCCTTATCACGTAGGCCACAAACCTCGAATAGACAATGTTCTGCGGCCCGGGTGCCAATTGCAATTGCAGCGCAGGTGGTTGGTCCTAGCCTGTCTTAGTCTGGTAGCCATCTCTAAAACCCCACAACCTACTTCTGGAAACTGAGACACTTTCTCAAGCGCAGTGCTCGAGCCTTTCAGGATGCCGAAAAAAAACAGCCTGCCATGAGAACAATGGACACTAAAGCGGCTTTTGAGATCGTCTTTTTACGGTGAACACTCAATCTGTGTGCTTTAAGCATCCTAGAAAATTCTATATTTCAATCACATGTGGCCATTATTCCCGTTTAACGATGCGCCCAAAAGTTACATTGTCCCCCTTTTCTGAGATATACGTCAAAAAAGAGATGCGCAACGACAACTGGTTGCATTTTAATAGGGAGAAAGGCCACACATGATCATAATTTTGGATTTCCTAGGATGCGTAGGGCCCATAGGTTTGAGTTTGCACCATGAAAGACAATCTCAAAATCTGCTGTAGTGCCCCTTTAATGAACCCAAAAAGCAGATCAAGCACGTGATAACTATGAAACGGGAGTGCAGCGAGGCATTGAGACACTTGGAACTCACCATCGTCACCAACCGGACGGTCTTGCCCTCGAGACGAACTTCTTCGGGGGTGATGACAACCTCGCGCTTCTCACGTGACCGTGAACGACTCAGCGAGGCTGGTGCCGGGCGGTGCTGAAAAGGTGGGAAAGAAATGAGCGAACAATTCAAGTTTGTGCATTCAAAAAGTTTCTCTCTCGGTGACACAAACACAACAGTGCATCTGCAGCACAGTCGTGTCAATCTCGTGAGATATATTTGTAAACTGTTCTTTAGTTACAGGGATAGAGCTGCATGTTACTATACCTTTGGAGCACATAAAGGGCATTCTCTGATGTGTGAAAGTGTTCACGTGCAAGCTACAGACTATATTTTGGAAGTGGGAAAAGCACTAGCTACTGTTCCATAGCCTCTAGCACTGAAATAAAATTGTCTTGTAGTCGCAACCTTTTACAAATTTGGTAGAATAAAAATATCCGCATAAAATATTAAGGATATCAATAATCCGTGCTAACTAACACAGGAGGTCTATAGCCAGTTCACCCCTGATCGTGACCTTTTGTTGACTAAGATATTCCAAAAGAGTGGCACTCGAAAAAAGTGTGAAATATTAAGCTCGCCACTGTGCTATAGTTGTCGATATTACATCTTCTCACAATAAATCATCTTTACGTGATGATAAAAATCACTCGTCACATTTTTCTCGTACAATTCAGAAAAGTTCAACCTTGCAAGAACTAGAGCTTACCTTGAGGCCCAAAGGATTCACCTGGCCTTCCAACATTCGGCACTCTCCATCTCCAACAACCTGTCATTTGAGGGGGCGGAAAGAATAGCAAAAAACAATCGAGCCAAAGTACGCCCATGTCATGGTGAGAAACATTACATGATCATTATCAAAAACAACCTTATTGTTCACCTATGCTTATACCTGCATTGGCTTTTAAAGAAACACTAACATCCCCAAATTTTTTTTTTTTTTTAATTTGCTATGCGATATAGAAGAATATCCAATCAATATTTTGCAACAGTGTCACATATATTTTTAATAAAGTAAAAACACGCAACTGCTGGAAACTGAAACCAAAACTCGTCTGGGGAGGAAGAAGAAATATAGAGGGGAAAGATACCAAAAGTCCCGTGGCTGTGCAACATTTGTTTTAACATATTTGCAGAATTTTAAAAGCCATGACAAATGGGTATTATATTTTTTGACCGTTTCTAGTATTGAGTGTGTACCTTCGATGACCCACGACTTGGATTATCTTTGGTGGTTGTGTCTAAATCATAATAAACGGCACGTGACTATGGAGAAGAGAGTGAGCGCAACTCAACCTGGCCAGTTCTCGATCGGCGGTTTTCAGGCGGAAAGAGAACGAATTTCGAGCCGCAAATTGTGTTCTGGGCAGTTGAGCTCTCATGTGTCATGTACAAATAAAAACCTTGCCGAGCATAAATATCCTGTCAGTGCCCCTCTAAGTATTATAGCCGTAGTGGGGCAATTCACAAGAAAGGGTGCCTGAATGATCTTAAGGTGGAGCCACTTTTTCCAGTATGGAATACCGACAGTATGTGATCAGAGTTGAAGTAAAACGGAATAGCATAAAGAAAGATAGCAGTAAAGCAAGAATCACATCTAAGCTGCCACTATGCATAGTATGTCTGAAAAAGTATAATCAGAGAAAAATATCCTAGGCTGGAGGTATGTAGACTTCAAATAACTGAGCCCACAGATCAGTGTGTCTTTTATAAATAAATATACTTCATAAAGCATGCAACAGTTTTTCTGCATGGGACCAACACCTGTGTTTGACGTGGGAGAAAAAAACCCGACACTCAAAGCACTCAAAGATGTCATGTTCTGTGTTCCGTCCTATGTGTTTATTCCTTCGTGTCTAAATTGAAGAGTTTGTTATTTATTATTCCTCTCCAAACAAAACCCAAAATATACATTGATACACGTGATTATTAGAAACTTTCAAATACAAATTGAGTTAAGTCCAGCAGTGGCATGGAAGCATTTAAAATATTGTGAAATAGTTTCAAATAATCTTCCAACATATTTGTTGCATCTGCTTTTCCTACAGCACCGACGCGATGCAGTGAAGCGACCTCAGCAGTACTAGAGTGGCAGTGTAGAAGAGTACTCCTCACAAACGCCACAAGTGCACACAAAAAAGTTTGTGCAAAGGTTGCAATTCTATTTTTATCTAAGGGATTATTGCGTATTCCTAAATAGTAATACTATGAAAGTAGTTATAGCAAAGCTAGTTTGCTGTTTCGATGCATCTCTTGCTTTGGAAGGTTTTTCTCTTGTTCCATCATGAACAGTTTAGATTCAACAAAATTTTAAAAATAGTAAACAGAAAAGCAAGAGTTACTTTTGTGTGAATGTCTGACTACTTATGGTGACAAGTGATCTAGTTGTGATCAGGAACCTTGTTGCAAAGCAGGTTTTTTTTTTTAATATCTTGACAACCCCCAATCTCTCTTTATTGATAGTCTAGGAATGCCTCCTAGTCTCAGCAATAATACAATAAAGCAGCATAAAAGCCTACAGACCTTGTAAACAATATTATGGCCATATGAAGTAGGATTTGGCTCAAAGTTACACATCGAATGGAGGCTCAGATCTGCTAAAACAATGCTTAAATTAAAATAAATAAATAAATAAATACTTTATTTGGGGGCAGAGATGGCCCAGGAAACTTGGGAGCTTGGGGAATTTGCAGTGATATGATTGGCACAAGTCATTTTGGCGCATCTTTTGGAGCAGCCTAAAGTTCATTTTGGAGCAGCAAAAAAGAACCTTTGGAGCAGAACTGTAAATTTCGTTTGCATTCAATCCACGATAAATAAGATGCTAAAAAAAAGAAAGTCAGGTATTGCCCTGTCAAGTAAAAATACTGTGCCTTCTTTGCTGCCACACTGCTGCGCAACTACTCATGGATTCCTTGCAATGTAATTTTCCCAAAACACTAAACTAGTGGTTCAGCCCTGCTTAAAAGCGCCAAACACGGAAATAAACTATTCTTAGAATATGTATGCTTTTGCTCTCTAGCAGCAACTGCATCTTTTTCAAGGTTCCGAAAGTTGCAATAATAATGCGATTTTTATTTCACTTTAAATGAAGCTTTCATAGGTAATTATAGCACACCAATGACCTCTCGGCTGTGGACGGCTTTATGGTTACGCAAAATCTGTTTGTAGGCAATAAATGTGCTTACTTAAACAAAATCCAGTAGACTTTGTTCAGTCTATTGGCAAGCTTCCATTCATCTGTAGCCAAAGCTAGTCCAATATAAATTGAAACCACTTATCGATTGACTTTGACTTCAAAGAGTCAAAGCCCTAGAGAGAGGTAAAGAGAAAACGAGAAATTTCACATAAAAAATAAACCTGAAATGATGCGTCCTTATACCTACCTGTTCGGCTATGTATCAACCCTCTCGATACACTCAAATATTCTTCCTTAAATCTCAAACCTGAAGAAACATTCATGTAGCTATTTAAAACATTGCAGTCGCGCATAATAACCGTGTTTTTCTTTAGACAACTTTGCTGCAATGCTGCAGTAAAGTTGTCAACATTGCAGTCCTATCAACATGCACCACATTCCAAGTTTTAATTTTTTCAAATACCATACTCGGAAGATGTGTTTTCCAAGAACGCATCTGCACTGCAGCAAACACAGCACACAGAGTCGCTGCGGCCACAATATGGTTGCTTCTCTGCAGGGCACCAAAGCCTACGAAGAAGTGCACTTGCCGGAGCTAGCAAAGCCACCCAAACTTTGAAAAATTAGAGCTACGCATATCGAAGTACTTTTGGCAGTTGTCGCGTTTAATACGAAGGTCGAGTCGAACAGGACGTAATTCGAACCGATACTACAAATCATCAAAAATTGGCACGATCCTACCGTAATGATCCGGCGATCTACCGAGACCCGAGTCATCAGAAGGCAGTCAAGAACCAACGTGAGCTTTTGGCGAAGCCTCGGTGCAAATTCGTCACATTTTGGTGAATTGTAGCAGCATGTAGCGGGGTGGGTCCATTGGCACAGCAATCGCATCGCTGAACTCGCAAGGGCACTCTAGGGAAGCCCTGGGTTCTCAGAGCCTTCGAGAGTAGCTATAATTAGTGACGATTGTAGCGCAATAAATATTTAAAAACCCACGTTGCGAAGACTAGTTGCAATCGGTGACGGAACCGAGCGGTTAGAAGGTACGCAAGGGCTCTCACCTTGGGCTCCTCAGTCATGTAGAGGAGGTACTTGCCGTGCTTCTGCTCGTTCTCCGCCTCGTACGGCCACGAGACCACCACGTCCAAGGTGGGAACGGTCCAGGGGCCGTGGTTGAACACCTGTTGGCAGTGGCAACGTAAAAAAGGTTTACTGTGCTACAGATACACAGGGGTACAGTGGAAACGCCATGAAGAGAGCATGAAATTACTTTCAGATTTTACACCCCTGACAAAGCTTAGTTTAGAAATGTGGCGTGTATAAAATGTACTTATGTTGTTTCGCACCTTGATTTTGTGCAAAAATATCGTGAGCCATATTACTCTGTGAAGGTGAATGTCCAGTGAAGCTGTTTAGCATATGACACAGACACGCCCCAAGGAGCTGGAGGAAACTAGACGCGCAACAAAACCACCACCTTGGCAGAGCGGAAGGAAAGGAAACTGGGCACACAAGCACTTGGAACGAGGACAAAGAAAGGGTGGTGTGAGCGTAGACATGGCCGACGCGGGTCGCACAGCGGCAATTCATTAAGAAACCTTTACTATCTTGCTGAGAGTCTACTGATCTTGAAAATGGTGCCTATTGATAATCTACTGAAATGAACTATTGCTAAATTACCCAAGCATCAAGGAGGATTCAGAAAATGGTGTTCCACGCGCCGCGCGTGCCGGCGTCTGCAGCACTAACTGTTCTAAAGCAAAAGCCTAAAACAAATGGAATCTTGCACGCACGTTCGTCAATGCTTTATTTTGGTCATTTACTTCAAATCTTTTATACAGGGAAGGCATGCGTGTGCGGTGGTGCGAGCATAGAGTTTTTAGTCACTGCACACGAAAAATCCACAAAACCCTAGCCAGAAAAAGCTTCGCTGTATAATATCAATGTATAATAAGTGCCGTTCCTCTGAACTTGTGCAAATCATAAACTGCCCCCCCCCCCCCCTTCCCCCCCCCCAAAAAAAAAACCCTTCATTTTCGAGCAAAAGAAAAGTTCCACATAAACTGAGTTTTAACATGAAACAGAAAAGAAAAGAAAGGAGCTACCCCCAACAAACTAAAGCTGCAATTCAGTAATATTTCCTAAAAATAAATAAACCGAAACAAGAAAAAACTACAAAGACATGATGAAAATAATCCCTGGAGAAGGGGAACAAGAGGGACAAAGGACAAACACAAATCTCCAAACACAGCTAGGTGACTGGTACAAAGACACTTAAGACTGCTAACGTGTCGGAATGCGAAAGCATTCGTATATGTAGTGTGTTCCTACAAGGCCTCTCTGGAGTCTGCCCAAGTAGGCTCTACTGGCTCTCAGGGCGGCCGCTCCCCCTTATCGGCGGCCGGGCCGCTGAGCCACAGAGAGGGCTTCTCTGTGGGGTGGCGGCCCTTGGAGCAATGCCACGCACCAGCCAATGGGGTGGCTGCTACAGACTACAGTCTTCGCTCCATGGGACAGGGGAATTTAGGTGCCGTTTGGTGCGGCTTCAAAAGCTGATAACGCTAGTTCGCTCCACGGGACTGCTAATGCTTTCGCAATAAAAATAAGGCTCACCTGGTAGGTGTGGACGACTTTGCTTCCTACTTCATCAAAGTGCTTCATGGCATGTGCCCCAACAACCACTCCGCCGTACCAAACTTGTTCCGGTTTGGTGGCCCTGAAAACAGACGTGCGAGCCAGTGCTGGTTTCACGTTTCTGACACCAAGCTGGGAACCTGGCGACATCTGGTTGATATGATATCACCATCGGGCTAGGGTTGAAATACACATTCTGGATATTTATTGGCCCGTTAAAAATACTGCGAGATATTTCGAGTTGCCTCAGGAGTGTGGAAATTGATTCAAAAACTGTGCGGTGCTCCCCAAACTTGTACAGAATACGGGAACTGCGCATATTTTTCGTGCTGGGGCTATTCTGAAGGAAGCTGAACAACAAGTCCTTGACATTGCGATTCGGGATGGCTGGTCGAGTGTTACATCACAAAACCGTTACCCTGCTGCCTCCAGTACGGAGCTCCCATAACAAGAGAGACTGTTTGCACGTTCCGTTTGGTGAGCACTGTGCATCAACAAAAACACTGCAGAAAAAAACAAACTTTGCATAGTGTTCCCGATGAATGTTATGTATAAAAAATCGTAAGAGTGAACATACAAGTCACCTCAGTGTGGCTTCCCCATAGCATGAGAATATATTTGTCTATATATTTATGTATATTTATTTTTATTTTGGGCAGAATTATTTTGTTAGTTTGAATTTCTGATACTTCTCCTCAGTGTTTTTACTGTTCCTACTCCAACTGGTTTTATTTTTTGTCTTTAGTTTTATCTCTCTCTGTTTTGCTTTGCTTTTTTTGTATGTATGTATTTATTTATTTAGTTAATATACCTCAAAGCGCAATTTCGGGTATTGTATGAGGGGAGAGTGCACTAGACAGAAGGCTGCATAACCACTTTAGGGCACCCGAAAACGAAAAAAATGTATTATATTATTATAAGAATGCAAAAATTCTGTAAAACAACTTTAAAAAAAAAGTGTGTTTCTTTTCCTCTTTACGAGTTTTATACAACTCGAGGTTTGTAAATAAGTGGCCATACTCAACATACGAGCGCTTAAGGTTTAATAAAGATGATGATGATATTGAACTCAGTCTCCTTCATTGACATGCATTCGCTGCAAAGCTGCCCTACAAACCATTTTCCTGCAAAGCTGAAAATTTTGTATCTTCTGCGGGCCCGTTGACAGGACAAGGAAGCAATGCCTTTTGTACGAAGACGTTTTGGCGGATTTGCCTTACCTGCCCACAGTCATTGGGAAGGAAGGAATTCCTTTTCCTAATTGCAGGAAACCATTGGAAAAGCTAATTAATTCAGTCATGCAAGTAAAAATCCGGAGCATTGCATCTTTGCAGCTTCCTCAGCACCGCGAATCCAGATCAAAACGTCACCCAATTTCTCAAAGGCTATAATAAAAAAAAAAAAAAACGAAAAATGTCGTATTTTTGTATTTATGAAAAAGAAAAAAAGGTCAGCAGGTACCCTCTTAGCTCCAGCTCTGCCACTCTCACAACGTTCACATCGATGTCAAGGTCTCTCTGGGGGCTCAACTCGAGGCTGGTGCTGCAAAAAAAAGCGTGTCGCAAAAATTGTACCATCAAGAAAAAATCGCAATTGCACGGGTGACAAGCAAATTGGATGCAAACGCGATTCTCTTCTGGGAAAGACGGGAAAGAGCCGAGTTGTAAATGTCACCTACGTGTTGGCACTGATGATGAAGTTCAGGCTCGTCTCCGCGTCGGCTTCGCTGCGTGCGTTGAACCTCAGGAAGATTTCCAACTGGACGAATCAAGTTGCACGCTTAGACATCCAAAAGGTTCAAGTAGAAGCAAAACAAGCACGAAAGAGTAAAGTCTACCAGAAAAACGTCCCGTATGCAGAGTGCATTAGCGACATACAATATGCAAATCTGAACAGTGTGATGTCATACACATAATATTCTGGTGCAGCATCGAATGTTACTAGATCTAATAATGGTGTTGACACCATGACGTCATGTAACCGCACGGCTTCGCATCACGAGTTATACCAAACCCTGATGTCACCTGATGTGATCCATAGCCGCACGTGACCACGTGAGCCACAGTGGTACGTACCAACGAAAGAGGAGGTTGGAAGATGGCTGGAAATTATCCAGCAGGAAAATCGAAAGAAGTAAAACTAGATAACTAGCACAGCTGGGGAAAGGCGGGACAGAAGAAAAAAAAAACTCGGCTATGTTAGGATATTACGTAGCGTGAGCTTATGCGCACAAAATGAGAGGCGCTATCAAGCTGCTCCGCTGCAGCGTAAGACTTGGGTACTGCGCAACGGAGGCGCAAGGCGCACAGCTGGGCACGCGGCGGCACCAGTGCGTCTGCCGCGGCTATGACGTCACTCCTCTAGAATGCGCAGACCGGCGATGCACACGCGGTGGTGGCGGCGGCAGCTCCGGCGCGCCAGCTGTGCGCCGTGTGACGTCGCTGCTCCTCGCGCTTGCGCAGCACAGCTCTTTGAAAGCGACGCGAAACTGCCCCACCTGGGCCAGTGTAGCTCACGCTACAAAATGGGACTCCCTCCCGCGTGGCTTTGACCCAAAGCCTGAACCCTGTTCCCCAGTGGGCCCAGTGTTGAGGTAGTGCAGACAAGGTTTGACCAGAAAAAAATTGGTGATTCCCTCGCTGGGGGCAAGAGGTGAGGGGGGGTGATGTCTTTATATTTTTTTTGCCCAATCCCCCAAAGGTCATCCTGGCAATATCCCACACTGCCTGGTGTTAGTTAGAAAAATGCAGAATGATACTTTTGGTTTCTAGGCTAGATGGCGCAAGCTACCGCCAGTTATAAATGGTACAGCTATTAGCGACTATCAATTTATCTATCCATCCTTTGAACCATATAATCATAGCTGCTTTGCAGTGAATTTAGTGGGACATTAGCCCGGTAAATTTAGCAGGTGACCACTTTTGTGTTGCTCCCAACGCACGGTACAGCTAAGGTGTTGCAACGCAAATCCCAACTTTTCCGTAGTTAGAATGCATTCTGCATCAAAAAGACATCTTAACTTCCTTCGAACTAAGCATGAAGGAAAGGCATGCATGCCCTCTGTATGCCACTCACCGTGCCTTGGTTGAGGGGGTTTCCGAGCTCGCACTTGACGTACGACTCAAGGGGCACGCAATCCACGACATCCGTGCCCTGCAAGCGGTCACGAATGGGAAAAGGTCCAGCACCACCGCAGAGACCCTCCAAAAGCCAGAAAGCCAACTGAACAACCCCAGAGTGCAAGCCTTCACACGAGAATTCTGCACATCAGGAAACTACGAGATTGCCCACCAGCTCGAGTTTCTTTTTGACATCATCGGCGATGCGACTGGCCAGAGACATTTTGTAGCACCTTTCAGAGCAGTCAAAAGTCCATTATGGAGCAGAAAAAGGTACTTTTGGAGTACAAGCACACACTTCATTTTGATGCATACCACTGCGAATATTACATATGTTAAGATTTGTGTGGAAACCTATCCAACTTAAAAAAATTTGCATGACATTTGATATTTTTGTGCGAAGGCAGATTGGATTTCCTCAAACATCAAACTACCTAGCTGTTTAGAGGCACATAGAAACACTACAGGCGTAGCTACAAGAGGCTGATCAATGAAGGACAGTATATGGAATGCTGTGAATGGTCATTTTAGGTTCAAAATAAAATGAAAACCAAACAGCATATTCCACTAAAATAATGTTAGAATATAGTAATATAGCTAGAATATACATGGGTGGGGGATTCCCCACATGAGTGGAGAATCTCCCACCCATGTCCTGTTTTCTTTTATGTAAACCCCCAATAAACGCCACACTCTTGTCTGACACCAAACTGGACATTTAAAAAATATCTGTAAGAAAATAAATTAGAAGCACGTTTGGTGATTCTGCCAAGTGCATTTAAATGCGGTAGCTTTACACGGTGGGTGGTGCACTTAGTTTGAGTGGTGTCTAGGTCTGGATGACCCTCAGGCTGTGTTCCAAATCTTACCTAGATAAATCCCAGTTACTTCGGCGGGTCGTGTCACGTTACGACACAGATTGAAAAGGGCTATACACGGGTAGGGTTTGGGTCACCAAAGTATGAAAACCTTACCCTGAAGTAAGACTGAGTAAATCTTTGAACACGACCTTAGTCTTTCAGCATTTGGGATGGGTGGTGCTCTTAGTTTTGTAGAGAAACATTACGTCACACCATTGTCTCTGTGATGCTGCTCACGCTTCCCTTCAGCACCACCTGGATAGAAAGATTTTGCACCGAATCTTTTAGGCCACCAAGAGAAAAGCACGCTTTCCTGCCCTTTCCACTCCTCTCTGCACCGTTCCCCTTCTCACACCACCTGCTTCTGCTCCTCCCATTCCTGCGTGCTAAGTTCATAGTCCGGTCGTCAGTGCACTCGGCTTCTACACAGGTGACCAGGATTCGATCCCTGACACTGCTTGCTGTTCATTTTAAAGATTGTTCAGCGGTTACGGACCGAGCAATCTACATGTTTCGTGCTTACGTGGCTCCCGAGGTTGGTCAGCCCTATAAAGCTGCTGCTCTATTACACCCCACAAACACGGAACCCTATGGACGAGTGGACGCGGAGCACAAAGGGGTGAGGGGGCACACTGACCGAAGAGATGAGCTTGCGGCCGACGTAGCTCAGGACGGAGGGGTGGAAGACGTAGAGGGCGGCGTCGTAGGCGGGCTCTCCACGGTTGTGCACCTTGATGGACATGTTGATGTGCTCCTCCCCCAGGTACAGGACCGGCACGCCCCCAGCCTCTCTGGAAGGGAAGGAGTTGGAGGTGAGCACGTTGGCTGCAATTATAGACGGAAAATGACAAGAACGATGGGGGAGGGAGAGGGGTCCTTCAGTTGAGCCGCCTCTGGCGCGAGCGTCCTACTTCCGTTAACACTTTGGAGTCTCGCAAGGTTCGAGTGTGCACGCGCAGCCGACGCACACCGAAAGGCAGTGAGCGTGTGTTGCAGGCCTGTCAAAACAGTTAATATTTTGTACCTTATTCCTGTCTGGCAACAAACTACCTTAGTACCCTTTTTTTGTGTTGAGCGAGGACAGTACCTGGTGTGAACGCCCACAGCATAAGCATGCTGAAGTGCCTACTACAAATCCCGACTTAATTGCCTGTGGTACAACCTGTTGAAATGCTCGATATTTCATGTTTCTTACGCTGTCCCTCTCGATACATCTCTTTCCTGTGTGAAGTGCTTTGTCTTTTTTATGAAATATTACTTTCATTTGCTTTCGCAGTGTAGTTGTCTCTCCCCCAGTATCTTGCAACAGAAAATACCTAAAATTTGAAACATGAAAGTGTCCTCCAAGCATTCTTTACTTAGAATCTTCCAACATTCTACGTGCATCATACCACAAAACATAAAAGTCTATACCCGAGTTACGAGCAAATATTCGGCGGAAAATTGTTATTACCTAGGTTACTGGTTCTCAAAACAAGATCTACGATCAGCATTTGTAGGATCTATACTCCCTTATTATAGTTGGTATACACTTCCCTGTATTGCATAGGTCTGCACTGCAATCAAGTACGGAACAGAATAGTAGTGTTAACCAGTGATTTCGCTCAAACGGTCACACCAACATACAAACTGTTGAGTTTGCTTATGTGCGAGATGGTCCTTCTCACAAACTAGCATAAAATACCGAGCATTTGCTCATGTAATGCAAGAAAAAATTTGGCAGACACACTAAAGACTGCTTGCGTGTGGGAATGTGAAAGCATTATAGTCCCTTTAGTGAAATGCTTTCGATTGATGTTTTTGACATGCATTAAAGTTCTCTCTGCTGATTTGGTGTGTGTGTTTGTGTATATGTTGGCCACAGACCAAAAACATTTGAACCATTTCGCTGCAGAACGATACATTTTCCGAAGAGCAAGTGACGTGCGGGAAGCAGCGTGCTCATTTTATACACTCATGACATGGCGCACGCACTAGGCCACACATTTAGTCAGCCTGATGGCTACGACGTGTGCAATGACGCACACACTATGCACACATTTAGTCAACCAGAACCATAGAGCTGCCGTGGCGTAGAGGAAGCGTTCTCGTGTCGCACCCCGGATGCCCGAGCTCAATTCCCACCCAGACCCAAATGTACAAAATTTTCTTTTCAAAGCTATTAATTGACTTTGTTTACAGGAACCTCCCTAAAAATTTGACGTCCATCCGAGTATTTTTAATCTGTTTTTAATCTCTGCGCCGTTGGCCATTTTTGGTACCATCGCTCTGTCGCGCTGCCGCCGCCAACGCATTTTCGCGTAATGGGTCATTTGCTTTCGCATTAATATGAGGAAGGACATACCAAGCCCCCATTTCAGACTTCCGAGCCCACCTAGCTAACCGAGATGCTCCTCCATGTAAGCCGCTTCCCCGAGCACACTGGTGCAAGGAGGTGAAGCAAAACGCAGAATTTTTGCACTTTGACCTAACCCCAGCCTTTTTAAGATGGTATCGATCGGGCTCAGTAGTTCACAGTCAGTAGGAATCGTTCCAGACTCCGGGCTGATATCCTCAGTGTTCAAGTATAAGATAAAAATAAATTTGTAAATCAAGGGCAAGGAGGAAACTTGAATCTTCTGCAGCGGAAGCCAGACTATTGCGACTTTACATTCGTGGCACCATTTACGAACTTAGGATCCCCAACGCTAGAAGGTGGTTCAGCTATTTTCATTAGCGACCAGACGGTTGATATGGCAACTACTGTCCGCGCAACGTGTCACATTATAATGCAAGGGTTGGAGTGCAGTTTCCCTGTTGCATGCGCCCTTGAGAACAGCTCATCTTGGCAGCTAGCATATTACCTAAGTCACAGCTAGAAGTTAGCAATGATCTGTCGCAATAACTGGATCTAACTCTTGCAAGTGGGCTTGCACAGCAGAGAATGCTTAGTTGTATCCTCTCAAGCCACATTATTACCGGGCCCAAGGATGTGCCACTCACTTTGGCAAGATGAGATCAGCTTCGACGTGCAGGTCACTCTCACAGATGTCATTGCTGCCGCAGTTCTTCAGGAAGCGCGCCTGCAGAGACCAGCAACCCCGTGAAGTGGACTCAATGTCTCATTTCTTTAACTCATGAGCGCACACAGAGCCAACTCGTCAATATGTCACAGAGAGTACAGCAACTGAAGAAAAAGACTGCCAATGGTTCAGAGACGAAGAAAACACAAATTGAAAAAAAAATGTGTCTTTAATCGAGTAATAGACGCACTACTTATGGACAAGGCCCTTGCATCTGCTTTCTCGCCAAACACACATGCAGCTAATATGCATTCTGCACAAAAGAATGTAGTGAATAGCAAGTTAGAGAACTTGATTCCCCGTAAAAATGCAATCTGCGCAGATAAAAGTTTTGTACGAAGACATTAACTCTGTCCCGTAAAACGTTGGCACGTTTCTGCCGACTATCGGTGATTGGCTATATGCTTGCTCCACGGGAAAGCGGAGCCCAGGCCTTGTTCACGAACACTGCGTCCATTAGTCTAGCAAATACAGTCTAAGCTCGTTACAACAGACCTGGTTACAACAGACATTTGGATATAACATACCGATTTGCGAAATTCAGTTGGTTTTTCTCAATGTACCATTGACTCGACTTCATATCTGCATACAACATACTCCTTTACCAACAGACCGAAATCTTGGTCAAAGTCAAGGTCTCTTATAACGAGCTTAGACTGTATGGTAGCATTTAAGCTGCAACAACTCCTTGCATAGTATGGATGGAAGCCACATCTACGTGACAGTAGGCAGTGCACCTCTAGCACTGAAGTGGTAAATTGTGTTCCTGGTGCCACCTGCGTCAAATGAATGAAACCATTTTTAAACGGATTAAAAAAATTGGCCTTGGAAAGTTTGTTTCTGTAATTCGATACAAACAGGTGCTAAGATAGTAAATCGGGGCAGTGAAAATATCAAAGCAGATCTATTGCAAAAGTTAGGAATTAAAATATATCATTCTTATAAAGAACACAGCATATATTTGTGTCTTAATAATATTGGCATCTCTGTTCCCTGGAAGCATCGCCCATAATAACAAGACAAAAACATATATGTTTACGCAGTTCGTACTCAAAAAGTTTTGTCTATATATCCACGTTGACAGGGTCCACATCAATGACACATAACTGTAGTGCATGATTTAGGCTATTTCTCATTAGTCCAGAAAAAAAAACAAATCTGTGCCATAGATCCCTACGCCAATAAATCAATATGCTGATAGTCCAGTATGCCGGTGGACCAATATGCAAATAGACCAATACAAGCGTGCGGTTACAAGCGCGCATGGTGCGCTCAAATGCAAATGTGCGAACCAGCCACTTCCAAAAAACAAAGCCTTAACGCCGGATTTCCTACATCAGCTACCACAGATTGGATACGAGTGATGCGCAATCGATCGGCGGAAACTCGTGCCTCACTGATCGGACACCCGGGCAAATTCCGACGCAGCACTCGTGGCCAATCGGTGCCTCGCCGATTGGCCACAAGGCACCAATCGGCCAATCGGTGCCTCGTGTCACCACGGTGGTGGCACCGTGGTGCCAATCACTTTGGTAGGCAACATAGAAAATTTAGCACTGTGGCCTTGCAGTCTAGGAGCTGTTAACCTCAGTCTGTCTGTCCTCAAGCGGTGCAGCAGTCAGAGCCCCACCTCGAAGACTTTGGAGGCCTCTTTCTGGTTGAGGATGGGCAGGCGGTCGATGTCCGGCAGGCCGGCCCCCTCGACAGGGTACCGGGGCTCCTTCTGCACCAGCTTGTACATCAGCTTCATCTTGATTGGGCTCTGGATGTCCGACTTGTCCTGGACATCGTGCGGTCGCGAGGTCACTTGGTGAGGGAACGCACGTCCAACGAGCGTGTGGTGCAAACGAAAATTGGACGTGTCCTATAATGCGCAAACAAATGGCGCGTCGCGAGAGTAACTTGTCACCCTCGAGTGAGCGCAAGCCTGCCCGAGGAGCGAAGAACAACGCCTAAAGGCGATCCTGAATTTTCCGGTAGAGTTTGTCCCAAAGTCTGGGATTCATTTGTTTGTCCGACAGCGCCGAGGTCATCCACCTTACCTTGCAACTTCACGCACCCCAACAGACGACGATCCTCAAATCGTGCATAACACACGTCTGCAAACCACAGATGAAGGGCAGCCAAACACATCTCTGCTCGTCAAAACACATTGCCATTGTGCTGCCGTATCTGTTTTCATCGTTTTTTATGCTCAATACTATCGACGGTCGGGAAAAACAAAATCGTAGAGAATTAACAACTCGGCCGCAAAGGTAGGGCCGCCCTTTGAAAATGGCGACGGGGAAGCAAGGCCAGTAGAAAGGGTGCAGAGGCTCATTGGAAAGAGGTCCGGCGAGACTCGCAAGATAGGCCCGTTCCAGCGCGTACCTTGAGGTAGACGAGCTCCCTGGAGCAGTGCTCGCGGCCCAGGGTCCACCACTGGAGCTCAAGCTCCCGGGTGACCACGTTGGGTGTGTCCGAGTCGGCCGAGGCATTGAAGCGCACCCGGTAGTACTTCTTGCCCGTGAAGGTCTCCGCCTCGATGCGGTACTCCAGCTGCAGACGGTTGTCCGTGCCGTTGCGCAGAGAAGCCGACTGCGTCGTGCGGCTGAACTGGAAGCACGCCTCGAACGAGAAGCTGCAAACACGTTGCTTGTTTTGGCTCCGTAACAGGGCGGGAGTCGAAAGTTGTGCAACCTTATTACGCTGGCACCTTTATGGGGAAGCCCTGGAATTCCTTCAATTAGGGTGAAGGTTTTGCATTAGTCACGAGATCAGACGTGCCATCTATGAGAGGTGGTTGTTTATAATGTCGTCAAAAGTTTTTTTGAGTTTGAGGCGAAGGAATGATGCGCAAAACAATAAGAAATTTACACAAAAGACAAGTGTTTCAGGCCTACCTTACAGATGCCATCAATATGCTCTCAAGGCTGCACAAGGCTGCGCAATGCTGCGCAAAGCAGCACAATGCATTCGGTTGCACCTAAACGCAAGTGTGCCAACTAGAGCATGCAAATATTCGTCAAACCGGATATTTCGTTAAACCGCAGGAAAGCGAATCCGGCTTTGAGAGCCGGTTATCCGGATTTTCGAATATGACTAGCAAACTGGTTTTTTGGTTATTCTGTCTTATCTACGCAATTTAATAAGGCTTTTATTTAAATTTTTTTCGTAGTCCTAGAATTACAAAGAATGCATCATGTTCCTCTGGCAATTAGAAAGTAATAAAATTACTTATTTCTGCGCTTATGGTGAGGAGAGTAAACTACAAAGAGTGCTTTATCCAGTTTGTTCTCTACAGAGTTTGGTGTTTACACAGCATAAGGCCTCTCGACTGAAATAGTTTCTGGGGCTTAGATTTGACACGAGTGCTGTGTGAGTGTTCAATTGGTGCTTCAGTGATTAAACAGGAGCTCCTGTTGAACGCTGCCACGGCGTTCGGCTACATCAGCCAAGCACTGCGCTAGAAACACAAACAAATAATTTATGTTGTTGTGCCCATGGGTGTAGTTCTCCACTTAGGGGCGCAATGATTGGATGGATGAATGACCTCGAAGATCCCCCTTCATTTTCAAAACATGCAGGTGACAGTAGTGAAACCCCCGGGTAAAAGGCTGCAAAGGCAAACATTTATTTCGGCCAAACAATCTCAATTTTGGTATGGGGTAATGTACTGTACAAATATTTGAATATATGGATATGTATTAATATAACCAATTCCCAACCGTTTGGTCACCAATATTGGATTTTCCAGTGTTAATAATTTGAATAATTGGAAGAGTGGCTGTTCGGGGTAGTTGGTTGGTCATTTCATAAAACTTGTGCATGCGCAGCAAAGATGAGGACAAAGGGAGAACAGGGCACAACTTTTAACCAACCGGCTATCTCAAAAACCTCTGTACTGCTGCCACTAGTGTGAACCAGTCATAAGGTGGAAGATCTTTCTACGGTGCAAACTGTATCCATGCAATCCGAGTAGAAAACCCTGCATTGGTCGTGCATGGCCTTTTTCCCCATCGAAAAGGCACCAAACCTTGCATTTTGCCCCTTTTAGAGCGCAGCTCTTAGGGGCCCGTTCCCGGCTTGAGCGGCGTCGGCGTAACCAAGGTCATCCCAAGGTCACGCGACCCCCAAGGTCATCCCAAGGTCACGTGGCCCCCAAGGTCACCTCAAGGTCACGTGACCCCTCCCCCAGGGTCACGTGACATCCAAAGTCACGTGACCCCCGAGGTCACGTGACCACCCCCCAGGGTCACGTGACCCCCCGCCAAGGTCACGTGACCTCCTCGATGACGTCATCGTCACTGATGACATCACCGGCATCCGCATCGTCATCATCCCTGATGACGTCATCAGTGACGTCACTGATGACCTCACCGGCATCCGCATCGTCATTGTCACTGATGACGTCATCAGTTACGTCACTGATGACGTCACCGGCATCCGCATCGTCATCGTCATCATCACGGATTACGTCATCAGTGACGTCACTGATGACGTCACCGACATCCGCATCGTCATCGTCATCATCGCTGATGACGTCATCGGAGCCCGCATCGTCATCGTCACTTATGACGTCATCAGTGACGTCACTGATGACCTCACCGGCATCTGCATCGTCATCATCATCATCACTGATGACGTCATCAGTGACGTCACTGATGACGTCACCGGCATCCGCATCGTCATCGTCATCATCACGGATGACGTCATCAGTGACGTCACTGATGACATGATCGGCATCGTCACGTGACCCCCCCCCCCCCAGGTCACTTCAACCCCCAGTACCCTTCCCTCCTCCTCCTCAAGAGCTGCGCTCTAATTCGGTGTTACAGGGAGTTGTAAACGGCTTTCACTTTTTTTTTATATATAAATCGAAAAAAGAGGCGTGTCACAATATTTGGTCGCATTTTTACTGAAGAAAATGATCGTGCACGATTAGAATTTAAGGTTTTCTAGGATGCTTAGGGTGCCTGGATCGAGTTTGTGCTCTGAAGACATAAAATGCACTTTAGTGCCGCTTTAAATAAAAATAACAGAAGAGACAAAGGCAAGTAAAAGGACAAGAAAAGACAAGTGATTTCACTGTCTCCTCATATGTCTAGTCCTCGTCTATCATGCTATATGTATTCATTTGTATTAGTTACAACAAATTAGACTCTGCCTCTAAAAGCAACTATGTAAGAGTACTATTCCAGTTACCGTAATTAGTTACGATTTACGTAACTAAACGAAATGTCTTTTTTTAGGTTTAAAAGATTTGTTTTAAAAAAGCTGTGAGTGTGTGGGAAGCACGATGGGGCACTAAATTACTACTTGTGCAATGGGCACAGGGCTGGACGGGCAAAAGCACAGGTAATAAGAGACGAAAAAAAAACAAAAAAAAAAACTGCGTGGTCGTGTTTTCAGACTGCTAGACTGGCACACGTTGCACGAGTGGTGACCTTAGCGCCCCAAATTTTAAATATATTTTCTTTATCAAGAGGTTTTCACTTATGCTCAGAAAGTTTATTTAAACCCCACATTTATTTTCACTAATTAAAAAGTTAATTAACAATTTTTAGTTAATAATCTGAATAATGGCGATGATTACCCTTTTCTATTATGTCCCCTCGACCGCATAACTCACCCGCACAAACCGTACTAGTGTAGCTTTCGTAGCTCTTTTTTCAAAAGGACAAACCTGTATATAAGGCTTTAAAAAAAAACAAAAAAAACACCCTGTACACTTTTGAATTTACACAGAAATTACAATACCTGTAACTTCATTATATTTTAGACCTGCTTGTAATCTTTAAGTTATTGTGGCTTGTCAGAACTGTGTTGACGAGTCCATAAATCACCCACCTGAACATTCCGAGAGATGCCCTACCCGTGAAAGATAACACCCCTATTTTTTGGCACAATTTTTCCATTTTTTTCAGAAGTGCCAAAAGGTAACCCCGTCCTAGTAGTAATTGCGGGCCCCTGGCCAATGATGTCCTCGGCAGAAATGGTGTTACTTAGCCAAGACGGGAGATATGCAAACATTGCTGACCAAGAAGGACAGTCCTCTTTGGTTCGTCGCCCCTCCCCGCAACTGCAAGGTTCGCAAATAAAAAAATCTGAAACTAGCATTTCTTAAAAACCTTCTTTCTTTATCACGCATTGAAAGTTAGTTTACTCCTTATTTTCACCCGAAATGCTTTCAATTTTAGGTGGACCTCTTTCGGGATGTTACGGTAGATGCCGCGGCATCGATGCTGCTCCGACGCGTAGCTCGTTCGGTGGGTCCAATGACTGGAACGGAACAGGTGCACCCACCAGACGTAAGGGCTGCGGAGGTCTTCGGGGCATCCGGGCACGGTGGGGTCAATGTTGGTCAGCTTGCCTTTCACGCTCGTGCTGATGTCGATGATGGGACGGGACCTGCAGGGTGGACGGTGAAACAACAGTCAGTGGGCTTCTCGTCTGCCAGTCATTTAAATACCTACCAAAAAAACAAATTCTGACAGGGAACGAGGCTGCTGCAAATATTCTGCTCACAAATATACAGAATTCTCATATCCTCGGACTTACTGGCAGGAGTTAAAAGGGCTTTCCTTAGGCTGATTCAAGAACCAGAGGGTACTCTTCCAGCACAAGCTATACGACGAGCAAGATGACCGAAATGGATCTCTCCAAGCACGAGAGGAGGCGCAGAAAGCAGAGGGACGATGTGTGCAACTGAGCCCAGCTCCCACAGATGATATTTTCTTTGGCGAGTAGCAAACAAAACCTTAGTTGTGCACCCTTTGTTTTGTTGTAGTGCATCTGGTAGTCGTTAGTCCATAAAACATATAAAAACAATGTACTACCAATCGAAGTCCTTTCTCTACCCCTTCTCGAGGCCGAGTCCTCATTTTTGAAAAACCAGTAAATTTCTGGCAGCCATCTAAAAGGCAGGAAAACCGCGTCTAGCAGACGGCGGTGCGTTCGAGCGCACTCTGTACAGATTTGCAAGTGCGATCTCAGGGCACCGCCATCTTGCTCGCTTGGAGCACGCTTGGGTGTGTAATCATCCCATTACGACGACTTGACAAAGTCGTCGGGATCAGATTATGACGTGCCGAACCAGCAAGATGGCGGCACCCCGAGGCTGTACCTGCAAATGTGTATATCTTCCGACAAGAGGTTGGCACTGTGACATCACTGCACCCTCTACACAAAAGGCAGACAAACTCGCTCGCTTTTTAGACCCAAGGAAGGCGCAATGGAGGGTTGATGAGAACGGCGGCAAGTCTCACCGAAAGAGGATGACACTGTCCGACTCATAGTTCCCGCTCAGAAGGTCAGGGTAGCCATTGGAGTCCAGGTCCATGCCACCGAAAAGGGAGTAGCCCAGCGTGGTCAGCTTGGAGCTCAGTGGTTTCGGCAGGTCGCTCGGCCTTATCACCTGTCGCGGCAAGTGACGAACCATGTTTACTCGGACGAGGGACAGAGCAATCCAGGTCTGCGTGCACACTCCTCACTAGGATTCTGCATTGCAACTATTATACCGGTTGTAGGTTAATCCCAAAAATTAACTTCCACGCCGGTTCGATCAAAATCGTGAAAAACAAAATCCCTGTACGAAAGCTTTTCCAGAAAAAATCAAGCTTAGCGGGAAAAAATCTTTATCGTGGCTTTATTTTCCGCTGATCCAGAGCACAGCCTGCACCGCAACGTCTTCCAAGCATTCGGGTACCGCACTTGTTTCCTTCAACTTGAGAAATCTCACACCTGTGTCTTGTTTTCCTAACCAAAGCCATGATACACATTTTTTTTTTTATGCGACGCCAATTACTATTGGGTTTCCGGTAAAATATAGAGCTAGAAAAAACATCCCCTAAATCAACAAAACAAACTGCAAAAACATCAAACCCCATACTCATAATACCATAATATACCGGGCAAGCGCCCACTCAAACTTCGGAGATAATTGCAAAAAAATGGGGGATGGGCACTTGTCCAGTCATCAATTTTAGATATAAATGTACCATGCGTATTCACTTAGATCTTACAAATGTGGTAATGGGTGCTTAATGTGGAATGGGCAGATACAGTATAGACCACTTACAACGTAACCGCTTATAGTGCAGGACCGGGTATAACGCGGCTTTTTTAATCTACCGGTTCGCCTCCCGTAGAACTCCATGTAATTACATACCACTTAAAATGGAGGCGCGCGAAGGGAAATACCGGTTATAGTGCGGTTTCTGGAGCAGTGCGCCGACCGACTGGTGCAGCGAGCACGCTTCCCTGTACGACACCAGATAACGGCGCTAGCCGCAAGCGGCACTTGCGGGGGCAAGGATGGCAAGGAGGTTGCTCGAAGAAGCGGGGAGAAGCGAAGAGAGAGGCTTCAGTTGCCATAGCGACGGAGGGACGCACGCACGTGTCGTTCACGGCGCAAGGCGTTGGCGAGACCATTGGTCATGGCCCAACCAGCCGTTTGCACGCGTTGCATGCCGGTCGCGGACTGGCTGCTTCTATCCGCAAACATGGCGTCGGTTGTGATCGTCGACGTCGACGGCGTAGTGGAAGCAGTGGAAGCTCATCATACCGCGTAAAAGCGCTATCCTTGACTGTGAATTTTCGTTGTGTGTCGCTATGATAACCCAGCACGTACCAGAAGGGAAGATCCACCTACTCGTGCGGAGATGTCGTGGCGGCACTCTCAAGACGGCAGAAACGCCCGTGTCGTCGTGTTCGTTTACTCCGACTACAGTGGTGCTTTCTAAGCATTTGTGTTTTCGAACATCGCCCGGATTTCTTATTCGAAGCATTTCATGCGTGCATTTCATGCCTTCTTTGGAGCATTTCATGTGCGTACCGTATAAAGAATGCAAATTTTCACACGTTTTCATCACCGGAGAAAAGTGATTAGGGTTAGCAATCCTCAATGCTCGCAACGTCCGTCCTCACTCCGCGACACCGTTAAAAGGCTGCGGGAGGCAAAAGTCACTCATTTCTTTCAAAATGTGTGACGCACTTGAGAGGGAAGTGTACTAGTCTGGTGAAATAAAGACTTTCCTCAAACTAAGCTTTATTTTTCATCTAACATAAAATAAATTCTTTTACAATGGTTGTCTCATGGCATGTATTTTGGCCTGAAAACTTTATGTTTTGGATATAGCGCGGTACTGCTTATAGTGCGGATTTTTGAGACTCCCGCGACATACGTGATATGCGGTCTACACTGTACGCTGTATTCTACGGTAGACATTGAGGAGAACGCACACATTTCTTTCGAGGCACGGCAACGAACAGATTGCAGTGCTGAAAATGAGATGTGCATTCCCTCCTTGGGCCACATTAATTTTATTGGCAGCCATTCTCGAACCTCGAGAGTCGGGTGCCATTTTGGTGCTCGGCTTCGTAAGGATTCCAAGTGCCACTGCGCATTATGGCTGGGAACAAATTGCGAGGATCCCGACAGAGCTTTGCGATTAAAAACCGACTATAATGCGCATCAGCTAAAGAATTTACTCTTCCTAAGGTACATGTCTATCATCAAACGACCTTGATGTACTGCATTAAAAAAACATTCCGGCACTTCCGCCTCTTGTGGATGCTTTTTACGGAGCCAGGCATCCTGGCAAAAGTTGTATAATTAGAAATAAATAATCAGGCAGATTTTTCGAAGATAATCTTCCCTACAGTAAATGAAGGCAGCTTCTGTTTTATGAAGACACTTTATTCTAGTGCAATAAATATAAACTACTTTCCAGCTCACCTGGGAAGGCTCCTTGACGATCCCGTCGGCAGAGCCCAGGTAAATGTAGATTGCTCCCCCACCGTCTTCGTACGGAGCTCCAACCGCAAGGTCTGGAAAATGAATAATTGCAGCTAAAAGCTCGTAATTTACAAAACATGTTTGATTTCCCACTTTTTTACCGGTGATGCTGTCAGCCAGAGAGTTTTCTTAACACGAGTGTTAAGGCTGAATCGACACTTTTGGCACTTCCTTGTAGTTCGCAATGCAAACGTCGCTCATAAACTATGTGTCATTAAAACTTTGGTTTAGGCTAGTTGGTCCATGGTAGGTGTAAGGTTTAAAAGCACAAACAGACAGGGACAATAGAAAATAACACAAACAACAGGGACAAGGCGCTACTCTTAACTGATTTATTGCAAGACCGTTCAACGCATATATGAACAAATCATCTACCGTTTACATTTCAAACAATGCCAACAGCCAATAAAACACTTTACAGACGCCCATCTAGATAAGTCACTCCTTTATCTAGTAGGCTAACAGATGGCACACTGATGCACTTGTCATTCCTCATTTTAATAAAGAAAGCCTTTATAATCTCCCGCTCTGTTTTTTCTTTTGATTTTTTTAAGAACGTCGTTGACTCTAAAAGTGGTTCGCAGCCACAACGCTTACAATGCTGAGACAGATGACCTCCCGAATTGTTGCTTAGATAGTTTGTGTTCTCTTGCCCTGTCATTAAAACAGCGTCCTGATTGTCCTATATAAACTTTCTCGCAACTAAGCACCTACTGTTAGCCTACTAGATAAAGAAGTGACATATCTAGATGCGTGTCTGTAAAGTATTTTATTGGCTGTTGGCATTGTTTGAAATGTAAACGGTAGATGATTTGTCCATGCATATAAGCGTTGAACGGTTTTGCAATAAATCAGCTGAGAGTAGCGCCTTGTCCCTGTCGTTCGTGTTATTTTCTATTGTCCCTGTCTGTTCATGCTTTGAAACCTTATAGATAAACCATGTGACCTTAATCGAGCGGTTGGAAACTGTCTTTAATGTAGGCTCTCCAGAGAACACACTGGCCTGCTGGCACCATCGATGAGGTGAGCCTGGAACTGCATTTCGCTAGAGCAAAGGTTTTGCACTATTTGAGAGATCAAATGTATGTACTGTCTATGACAAATGGCCGTTATAACACTGTCGAGTTTTTCGAGCCAATAAAAAAAGAATGATGGCCAAAAAAGATAAGGATTACTCATAAATCCCAAACGTTCTACAGCTACTTGATAGATGGTGCCAGTGTCTTCTCACGTTGTAAAAAATCGAGAGAATTTAAGGCACTTACCGTAAAGTTCCGAGAGAACGCTTCTGCCCAAACTATCGCCCACCCACCTTTTTGGGCGAAATATCTATTTTAATGAAATTCCCAAACGTCGCCCACCCCCTAAAAATCGCAGTAGCTTCGACGCGTTTGAAAGCCCGGGGAGCTCTTGCCGCAAACATGCCGATGACCCCTCTGGGAAAACCTTGGATGACCGGTCCACGAACACCGCCAGTTACCCCTTTGCTCTAGACAAATGTAGTTTCAGGGCCACCTCAAAGGTGGCGCCAGTGTGCCAGCATGCCCTCTTATCGTAAGAAATAAGAAGTTGATTGCGAGCAAATGCAAATGTGTGAACCAGCCTTTGGCCCATCTGGGTGTAAAAAGAAAAAAGTCAAAGAAAGCTAACCTGGGAACCCGTCCTTGTTGAGGTCGCCGGCTGACGACAGGCCAAAGCCAAACCTAGACTCGTCCTTCCCGACCAGCTTGATCGGCTTGGTGGCTTTGCTGATGCCCTGAAAAGGTGGAACGGGCCCCCTTGGCTTCACACAAGCACTGACCTTTTTCAGACAATATGGTCAAACTACTCACAAAAAATACTTAAAGCAAAAAGTAAAACTTTCGCATTTTTGATTGAAAGAAAAGTAAAGTTACATCGGGTGAAATGCACTCAGTTGAACTACGCACACAGACATATTGTACTTTAAAAGTATAAGGACATTTCAATACAGACATTTATAAAGCCCTCTCGCTTGCATGCTGATCTTTAACAAAACACAAGTATATATATATATATATATATATATATATACATATATGCAATGAAAATGGATGTATGCTTTAATGAACACAAAGTCAGGGTGCGAAGGAGCTGGTGAAAATTGAGGATAACACGACCCCGAGACTGCAAGTAAGCAAAAGGTGACATATAGACGAAAAGACACATGCCGTAGCATACTACACAAAAAGTGAGACGTTTCGTTTATACGTTATCCTTCACTCACCTGCAGTCTCGAGACATGCTTACCTTGAAAGTATCAGAAAAATATACATTAAGTATATTTTTTTTAAAAGTACTTGTTTAGGTACCTTTATAAACTTCGTTATACGAATCACTTACTTCTACGGGTCTAGCACAAAAAATCAAGTCTGTGAAACAGTACTTTCATGTAGTGGCATATTTGTGCTGTTTCAGCCAATGGTGGTACTGAACTCCTACATATACATCTCCATTAAACTTGAAGAGTGATATTGTCACGTGCATGGACGAGAGGAAATGCTACTCCACACTTCTAGAAGGTTTGTGTTTACCAATACCCCAAATCTCAAACATTCTATGGCAAATGTTTGAGATATCGAGTGTAAAAAATAAGGAGGCCAGTGTGGCCTTGCCAAAAGTCTCGCCCTAGTCAGGTGTCACACGGACACCTCGACGCTCGCTTCTGTTTTTCCGACACTCCTTCTCTCTCTCTCTCTTGTTTCTGGCAGGAGTTCGCCAATTAAACCTTTATTTTCAGTTTTACGTTTGTCAATCCTTCTCCATCCCCAACAATATTTTGCAACAGTGGTTAACTCGGGTGCATTTCTCGAGAGACCAAACAGATCTCAATAAGTGCCACACATCTCCTCAATCAAAACTTTCATTGATTTGATTTCTTAGAGCAGTAATGCAAGCCCACTAATTATAAGGGTTAGGCTGGGAGCCCAGTATACTCATTTGGAGACTAATTTGTTAAAGAAATCTGACTGTACACATAGGCTGAAAATATATTGGCATATCCCCAAAAAAAGATTAGAGACTAAAATAACCCGAAAAAACCAGCGACTCCAGCTATCAAGCAGAAACTTTGATACAACTGATTTACATACCAATATTTAAAACCTCAACCTCAAATGCAAAAAAAAAAAAAAAAAAAAAAAAAAAAAAAAATTTTTTTCAAGGGTTGTTGAAACAAATTTTGGGCAGGGATAAATGAATTTAGATTGGGATTTTACTAATAACATATCGTTGAGTGGGCTAAAAGAAGGAAGGTAGAAAGCCGAAAGCCTGACCTTTGGTACGAAAATTTTAAGACACAGCGGACTACTTCGTACCTCCTTCCCTTCGAAAGCTCTCTGCCTTTTCACTGCGATACATCCACGGTACCTAAAGCATGTCACCCGGCCTAAACGCATGTCACACGACACCGGACCTCACTTATTCCCTTCACCCCTAAGCTGACACTGTGGTGGAGGCTATGCGATAAAAGGAAGGCGGCCAATCAGCCGCCTCCCTTTCATTACCTGACCTCATTCTTTGCCGGGCGTATGCGCGAGGAAGCGTGATCACATGGCAAAAGTGCAGCTGGCCCAACGAGCACGTAGCTTCCATAGCACTGTCAGCTTTGGGGTAAACGAAGTGGAAAAAGCAACGTTTGTTCGAGTTTTGAGCGACGGGCTAATCTTCTAGAGATAAAATGGTGGTGTCCGGGTACACAAACGAGTGTCCAAGCAAGATGAAAGTCCCTCCTTTCAGTTTTAAACTGTTTGGTACAATGAGTGATTAGTGAGTTGAGGAGGAAAACTAAGAAGGAAAAAGTTGAAAAATCATTTTACGACCCCTTTAAAGGGGCACTCCAGCGATTTTTTGAGCTATCTCAACTAACCATAATTTCTGACTCCCCGGCCTTCACCCTTTCTGGTATGCTATTTAGTATAGCGAAATTCATAATAGTTATAGCGAAATCGGCAAATGAAAAAGATGAAAAAACCAACATTCAAATATACCCGCACTTTTCAGTGTTGTGACGTCAGTGGCGGGCAGGCTTGCCAGTCGAGTGAGCAGTCTAAAAAATACAATATGCCAATCATTTGTTCCGTGCTGGAGCGCGGGGACTGGGGCGAGCTTCCAAAGCATTCATTTGCCACCATGAAACTGCTTCGAATCAGTTGGGAACAAATTCTACACTCCAAAGAGTGAACCCCTGCACTTCCACTGATGTCACTTTTTCGTTGTTGCCAGTAGAGACTTTCAGTTTGAAAAACATGGTGAGGACCAAAATTGTAAATTCAATAACTTCGTGAAAAAAAATTATTTTGACCTAATATTTGGGATACTATTTTGACAATGTTGTTTGGCGACTTTAGCAAAATTTCAAGCAAATCGGGGACCATGAAGAAATGGCGGAGTATCCCTTTAAGGACAGAGCAACAGTTAATTTATTTAAATGTAAATGCAATGAGACTGACCGTTTTCGAGTTCATGTAAATGTAAACGGCACCCCCTTCGCCTTTCCCGTGGTAGAATGGGGCGCCTACCACAAGGTCGATGAATCTGAAAAAACAAAAGCAACTCTTTAGCATGTTAGTGCCCTTCCTCAACTGAAACTCAAGTTGAATCTCAGCTCATGCCATAGACCCTTTTCAAAGGTGCACACTATCTAGTAGCTCTTGCACCAGCTATCAGAGTCAGCCACTGTTTGGGCACACACTCCAAGTATTCATTAAACACAAGTGCTGCGTTAGCGTTTGGTGAGGAGTCGAATCCAATCAAATGCCCAAGAGATAGAGACCACCAATGTTCCTTGACGGACTTTTAAAAAGGGTCTGTTGTTTAGACATTCTTCAATGAAATTGAAGTGGCACCTTTGTCATAGACACTGTCACTGAGACCTCATATCGACAAGTACAATCTCCCCCCAAAGACAAAATGTTAGCAGCAATGTTGTAGCCAGAGATGCGTTGATATAAAGGAATGAGAAAACGCAGGAAATACAGGCTTTCTAATATAAAATTCAAATGAAGGCATACTCGATTTGACCTTCGAACTAGCAGCAATCAACAATTCATCAAATTGATTACTAACTTATAATCTTGTGTGAATAGTGTATTTTGAGTTTGAAGCAAATTCGAAGCGAATAGTGGTTGTGGCCGAATATTTTAGACTCAAATATTGAATAGTTTTTCGACGTCTTTCACTACCATTGCATAATCATAATGCTCAGACGAAAACCCAGCTAAACTTGTGAAGGTTGTTCCACTTGTTCATTTATAAGCCAAGTTTAATCTATCTATATTGCTGAACTGTGACCTGAGGTCTGGTGTCTCGGGATGGCAAGTAAACGACGGATTTGACATAAAATGAATCCTATAGAGATGACCAACTATACCCAATTGAGTGAATTTACAAATTTTGCTATATAAAATATTCTTTCTTTAATCTCGAGTTAAAGAATGAATTGCGCATGCTGAACGCAGGTTGTAAGGGCATGTCTGCCTTGCATAACAGTCAGTTTAATTTTGAAAATTTTACTACAATGTAGATATACGCATTCACAAAGTTTCTATTTATTTTCAAATACCGTATTCACTCGCACAATGAAAGCACTCGCATAATGAACGCACTCGCGTAATGAACGCACCCCCAAGTCGGCTCTCAAAATTTCGACTTTTTTTTCACTCGCATATAAATGCACCCCCAACTCGGATGTCAAAATTTTGACCCCTTACCCCCTGGCGCGCGAAATGAACGCACTTTTCTATCCTGGAGCAGCGGGGTCGCCAATGCATGGGCAGCGTGGGCAAACAAAACGCCTTGCAAAAGGCGTTAAAAAAATTTGCAAAGATCCAACGGAAGCAAGAAAAAAAAACAACATGGAGGAGCTTTTTTATTTTTGCACAGCGCAGTCTGGACTTAGGGTTGGCGCGCCGCCTCGCACAAGGAGGTAAGAAAGAAAAGCGGAGAAGCGCTCTAAGCGAACGAAACAGCTTGCGAAAGGCGGAAAAAAGAAAAAAACAAAAACAAAAAAACACGAAATTAAAAAAAAAAAGCTTTTTTTATTTTTTTTTTGTATAGCGCAGTTTGGTTACGGGGGGTCGCGCGCAAGGAGGTAAGAAAGAAAAGCGGAGGAGCCCTCTAAGCAAACGAAACAGCTTGCGAAAGGCGGCAAAAAAAAAAAAACAACCCACGAAACTGAGATAAAACAAAAAAAAGAGGAGCTTTTTCTTTTGCACAGCGCAGTTTGGTTACGGGGGTCGTGCGTCGCGCGCAAGGTGATAAGAAAGATAAGCGGAGAGCCCTCGCCTAAGCAAACAAAACAGCTTGCGAAAGACGGCAAAAAACAAACAAACAAGAAACTAAAAAAAAAGTTTTTTTTTGCACAGTTTAGTTTGGTTACGGGGTCGGGGCGGCCGCGCGCAAAGAGACAAGAAGTTACTTCGATTTTTCAGGATAAAAGGTCCGTTCACTATGCGAGTAAATACGGAGGCAAAAATGTTACTTCGCGTAATGAACGCCCCCCCCCCCCCCCCCCCCAAACTTTGCATCGATTTTTCAGAAAAAAAAGTGCGTTCATTCTGCGAGTAAATACGGTACAGCCGCCGTGCGTGTACCACCCCGCTTTGAATTTATGCTTTTCTTTCAAGCACGCAATTGTGATATTCATACTTTTCCAGATGTTTATCGTGGCGGGTTACCCCGTTGAGTGCGCTTCTTACCGAGCACAGATGTAATGCAGAGAAGCAACACCCGCAGAGCTCGCTTCCGCGGGTATTGCTTCTCCGCAGTGCACCGGTGCTCGGTAAGAAGCGCACTCAACAAGGTAACCAGCTGCAATCAACACTTCGAAAAATGCGAATGGTGTTGAAGTGAATATCGAATAGTGTATTATTCGAAACTACTATTCGAAATTTTGAATATTCACACAATCCTACTGACCTAAATGTTAAAAAACGCCATTTAGTTCTGTTACACGCCGTTCTTGCACGACACCGCCGTATTGCAGTGCAACAACATCTGAGGGAACAGCTACTGTGCTTCCCAACCAGCGGTGACGGAACAGGGGGCGATTGCCCCCTGTACATTTTAGACATTTCTAGTAAACAACTCGGGGGAAGCTGATTGAGAGGCGAAATGTACTTGGAAGCTGGAAAATGGCTGGGCTACAGATACGAGCGGTTTTTAACGCTGCTCATAGATGGCACACAACGCAAAATTGTTGTGCAAGATGGATATATTTCCAACAGATGGTGGCTTTTTGTTAATTTAAGCTTCTTTTTTGTTTATTTTTTGTTATTAAATTTTGGTGTTCATTTGGAAAAAGATGGCAGCACTGAGCATTTAGCATGGTCTTTCTAACAATAAAATTATAGGCATTGTCTTTGGCAGCAAAGGTGACGGATATCTTTTGAAGCCTTCTTCCGACAACGAGAGTGCTCCATAAATGGCAACAGAGCTCCATAAACACCTACTGGTCTAAAAGGAATGTGATCAGTACTCCTTTCCCTGCATTCCCAAGTGCTTCGAGACATAAAAACTATGTAACTGCCCCTCCCCAGTGATTTGTCAACTGACATGAGGTCTACAGGAGTGTTAAGAAGCATGCTTCTTTGTTTTCCGCATTTATTTTTATTTTAAAAGCTTACTAGACGAGCCAAACTATCGCAGAGACTAGCTCCGTTCTAGTGCAAGGAAACATGTGGTACAGATAACCCAAAAACTGGCAGTCTTTGCGAGTTCATTACAAAAGGGAACATTTCACACTTTAAAAAGAAAGGGGCAAGCGCAAAAAAAAAAAAAAGAAAACAAGCAGAGGCGATCCCCACCCGTCACTGTTGAGATCGAGAGACGTGAGCGAGTATCCAAAGGAGGAGGCGAACTGTTCTCCGTCGAGGATGAGAGCCGTGTGCAATTTGGTCGATGCCTTGTCCTTGTCAAAGAAGACCACCTTTCCAGTCCCGTTGGAGCGTGGTGCCCCGGCCACGAATGTCGTCTGGTTGTGGAAGAACCGCCCGGACGTCACCGACATGCCTGCGTACGGAAGGAAGCGAGTGTCGTCACCGACCGCTCGCCCGAGCATGGAACTCTGAAAGGATCGCACGTTTTGTCCCGAATGATCTGGAAAGGCACATCATTAGAGCAATAGGTTTTAATGCAGAATGTGCTTAAGAGCTGGGTCCTCAAGAAAAGCTTGATGCGACGTGACAGATATCATATTTATAAGGTTGGCCATACCGAGCATTAACACTCCCACATTCAACATCTCATTCAGACCTCAAACATCCCATGACTGGAACCACCTTCCCACTTCGATTGATGCAATCAGTAACATTGTTCTTTTTACACAATCTCTTACTAACAGCACCCTTAGTTAACTTAAATGCCATCTTTTTTTTTTGTCATTCACTCCATTATGTAATGCACTATGTACCTCAAGAGTAAATCAATCGATAAATAAAAAGATCAGCACAAAAGAACACTTAATTGAGAAGAAAGAAGGAAATATTGAGCACTTCCCAAAGAGAACCAAACCTATGACCTCAAGATACTTGGACAAACAACTGCGCTATTTTTTTAATTGATGTCATTACATTTTAAAACCAATCACTAACAGGTTTTGGACTTCTAACCTTTAAGGCGAGACACTACCCAGAAAAAAATTTCTGCAAAAAAAATTGCTTTTGAAAAATGCTATATTTACATCCACCAACATCTAGAGCAGGGGTGGCCAAACCGCGGCTCCCGAGCCGCATGCGGCTCTTTGCTGGTCCAAGTGCGGCTCGCGGATCCCTCGTAAGGGGACCCCCCCCCCCCTTTCCCTTCGCCTCTTTCCGCGTTTCCCCAGGAAACAAAAAACAAGAAGAAAGGATTTCAGAATAAAGCACACTGCAGCTTGCAGTTTGACAGCCTTGTACTCCCATACGTACAGTCGTACAGCCTTGTGTCCCTATACGTACAGTCAGACTTTAAACAAAAGTTACCTTTGCCCCCCCCCCGCGGCTCTTAGAAGTTCCGTGGTTTTGTTTGCGGCTCTTAGGCCAGGCCAGCCTGGCCACCCCTGATCTAGAGAGTGTTCCCAAAAAGTTTGATTAATTTACCCTGCAAAGTTAATTTTGTATAAATTATTTTCTGTCCACCGAAGCTAAAGAGAAGGTAGGGTTTGAAGCACTTCAAATGCATTTTTCTCCGTTCCATTTTTTTGGTATAAATTACATTTCAGTCAATTTATCTTTTGATAATGGCAATACAAGGAAGGCTCGTTCTTCACTTTTCCCGACTGAAATTTAACAAGAAATTCAGCTATGAAATGTTTTTGTCACTTTACGCATGTCTTTTATAAAAAAAATGTTGACATTTTGTCGAAGACACAAAAACCAAAAAGTTGACCAATTTTGCAGTAGAGAAAATGTATAGAAATAAATGACTTTTTAAAAAAACTTTTCATAGCCAGACCTCTTAGGCATTCTGCTACATATCTAGCGAATAAAAATCTTGAATATTGTGATAGTTTTCCGACGATAGGTTAACTAAACAATGTAGGCGTGTTCTTGACAGAAGCTGCTCCAATTTCCTTCCCATTTAACCGACAGACCTGAGATTTTGTTAAGCATCCTCTAGTATGACCACCAGCCTACCCTGTACATTTAATTAATTTTAAGCCAAGGGTTCAAAAGTTGACCCTCCCAGGGGGTGTGTCTCCTTAGGCTGGTTCACAGATTTGCTTTTGAGTGGGACCAAGTGGCACTGTTCTCGCTTGAAACAGCTTATGTCAAGAAAACACACCGGGAGACTGGCGCCATCTATCAATTAACCCTGGAACAATTCCCATCTGCGTACTGGAAGCGTACGACGAGACAATGGCGCCACGGTGCAGCTTCTAGAAGAAGCATTTTGCACTGACCGCGGCCAGACTGGGATAGACATCTTGAGTAGCAGCCAAACTTTCTGATCAATGTCAGCTTAGCTGAGCACAGCTCATTACAAAAATGTACGGGACCACAGTCGGCGCTAACTTTTTTTACGCGAGACGCGGAAATTGAGAACACAGATCCCCACCACGTGCTGGCGAGAACCACAGCGATTATTTCAATTCCAGTACATCTACCCGATCAGCCAGAGAGCAGTCTTATAATAGAAGAAACAAAAATACTTCTTACGGATATTTTATCGATTACCGGCACTGGCAAATGTCGTCCTATAGTGATCGCTGGACCGTCGAATACACAGACGCTTTGTAGAGGCACCTTTCAGCGCAGATAAACGAAAAACATGGCGGTGTGTTGCCGTCGTTGCTGCTTACAATCGCCAGACATACGAGTGAACCCAAACTCCGAGCAACTCCTACGAGTTGAATGGTGGAAGCAAGGTACAGAGCAGCGCTTGTTGTCAATAGGTTTCCAATGTCGACGTGCCAAACCTTTACTCCGGAGTGAACAAAAAACACGGTCGCAGGAAGGCACGGACGTGGCCAAGGGGCTGCAGGCGCATTAGAATGGGTCGGAGCGCGCAGCGCTTCGCTATGCGATGTATTGTGGATGCCGTCACTGGTGGCGCTGCCAACCAGCTGCCAAGGTGGAGTGGCGCACTCCCATAGGTGTCGCACGCTCCCAATGACTGAACTGAATGTTTTGCAGCATTTGCTGCAAAACCTTTCATTTATATTATCAGAATTATTTTAATCCCGCAGTAAAAGAGGGCTGCGTAAAAAGTGAGGAAATATTTGCGCAGAATCGAATTAATTCCAGGGCTACCAGACAGGTAAAGCCAGTATGTTCTCTCGTAATCAGGCACAAGTGAGTATGGTGCACTTAGTCACACTCAAAAGCAAATGTTTGAACCAGCCTTTACTATGACTTCTGCAAACCCTACCATGGAAACACTGTCCCAAAGGCCTGTTCACAAGCTTGCATCTGCTCACAACCAAGTTGTTGCGATCTCTTACGACGAGAGCATGCTGGCGCCATCTGTGAGGTGAACCTGAAGCTGCATTTTACAAGAGCGAAGGTTTTGCATTAAATTTGTGAGATCAAACGTATCTATGAGAAATGGTTGTTTATAACACAGTCAAAAGTTTTCCGAGTCAATAAAGCGGCGGTTCTTAAACGGGGGTCTGCAGACCCTTTGGGCTACCTGAAGGCCTTGTTGGGGTCCCCCAAGCCCTAGACCAACAATCAAGACGAGCACTACAAATCTTTTTTTTTATTGATGCTGACTGTTCCACAAAGCTAAATATAGATCAAATCATTCGCACTGAGCAAGTAGGTTAGATCATTCTCCGTTTCAAAGCTTCAAAGTTGATTTTCACGCATTTCATTTTCTTCTTTTAGTACCCTTTCATACTGGTTCAATACCCTCTTCTCCCTCCTAGTGGACCCACATCACTTCCGCCTATTCAGACGGAAAACATAGCAAAGTTACAGAAGTGCCTAGTGTTCGCTGGCTACCCAATAGATGGTGTGTTCTATCGGTGTAGAAGATTCTAAGAGGTTTTAAGACGCTTGGTTGTAAGCAGTCACAAGTGAGAGGACCAGCATAAACACCACCATTTGTTCGCAGGGTACTAATTAGAGTGATCGCCCAATTCCCGCAAAAAGAAGGCGAAAGGAAGACCACACGTGGCCTTGGGCAGAGGCGGACTGACCCAGGTAGCTGTACTTCTCAACGGGGGCGTCCTCCTCGAGGAAGGGGCTGACATTCCAGACCCAGTCCTTGAGCAGGCGCTTGGCCGAGATGGTGAAGATGGTGCCCTTCCACGTGTAGGGCCCCGGGCTGCCCAGCACTATGGTCGAGTCCTGTGCGGAAAAGAAGAGGACGGGCGGCAGCTCGATTACGCCACGTTCCACCCCGATCGTAAAGGCAGGTTCACACGCTCGCGTTTGGTTGCAACCGAGTGCGTTGTGCAGCCTTCAAGTGACACACCCAGTTCCTCGAGAATGCAAAGTACCAAACAGTGGTTGCAACCAAGTGCGTTGTGCAGCCTTCAAGTGACACACCTATTTCCTCAAGAATGCGAAGTACCAAGCGTGCAGAACGCTATGCAGCAAGGACACATTCCGATGCCACCAACCGCAAGGTTACCGCTGGAGCAACGTGATTCCAGTTGTCTGCTTTGCATTCTCCAACCGCCCGACAGAATACTACAGTGTGTTCTCCCGTCATAAGTGATCACAAACGAGGCTGCATGGCGCAGTCCGTTGCAACCAAAAGCCTTTAGAAATACAGACACCAAGAACTCTTTGTGAGCAGCTTTCTCAAAGGCTGCATTCCAAATCTTATTTGAGTCGTATATCGTGCGATAAAACAACTAGAGTGACGCTCGATGTGAGCAGGCTTCTGAGCGCCAGGGTACGAGACCTCCACTCTGGGTTGAGATTGAGTAAAATTTGGAGCACGGCCCAAGTGACACTTGGCTGGGTCATGCTAGAGTAACTAAATGGCGGAGCCAGAGTATTGTCTTCCTTTTCCTTCTCAGTGGTGGAGAAGCCGTCACATGCATCAAATATGCCTATACTTCATTTCAGCTTAAGTCCAGATGCAGCCGAAGCTACGAGCTAGTGGGCCGGACCTATGAAAGAGCACCAAAAGTGCAAGTCACTGGGCCTTTTCTGTTTATGATTAGTTCAGTGACGATAGAACACGCATAGATAGTACATGATGAACATCACAATGGTGCACTTTTGTTGTTGTACGATCGATCTCATCAGCTCGGAGCTGAGCCTGGACTTAAAGTGAAATGAAGTGTAGAGCGCTTGCGGAGAGCTGGGTTTGGAGCTGGACATATTTCTTGTTTTGCGTTTATGAAACATACATCTTACACTGAAGTCTGACGAGGAGGAAGCATCTTTAACCTTCGGATATTTGTGTGCAACTTAGATATGTGCAATTGCATTCTTTTTCATAATGAGAGTGCAGTTTCAAAGCATGAACAAGCAGATGACACAATAACGACGACAACGACGCAGCGCACGCTTTTTAAGGATTTGTGAGATGCACGCCGGTGCGTGCACGGTAAATCACCGCCTCGCGTCGCGGCCCCTGTCGCGTCTCCTGCAAGAGTGACGGTAGCTTTCCACAATATTTGGGGGCCAAAATTTGAGACCGTCGCCATACTCTGCTCTGCAAGCGGAGAATGTGCAGGTACTCTAGGTCGTGCCGGTTGGGGCGCACCTCCGAGATGACTCCGCTGGTGCCGGCCTGGCAGAAGCCGAACTGCTCGTGGGCCTTGTCCACGGGCCGGTTTTCGCACGGCTCCCAGGCACGCTCCAGGTCCAGGTACTGGGTCAGGGAGTAGCAGATGCCCCGCCCCCACCGGTACGAGGGGCCCATGCTCACGTGGCGGTGGGCGCACGCCTGAGAACAATGGGACGGCATTGGCTGCGGTCGTGTCAGCCCACACCTTCATCGCGCCGTAAAGCACCACAACTGCGAAAGGCCTATTTGTCGGGGAACTACGGAACACAAATGTGTCAACAGTTTGATGGGAACAGCGCAAAAAAAAAGTAGGACAAGGTCGAATGAAATACACAGACAGGGCGCTGCTGTGTGTTTCATGCCTTGCTGCAGCAGCGCCCTGTCTGTGTGTTTCTTCGACCTCGTCCTACGTCTTTTTTGCGCTGTTCCCACCAAAAAGTATGTACCACCAACTAGCCCAACTACATGCCTTGTGTCGACAGATCTGCCACAATCCGAACATGTCCCAACCAAGATGAAAAAAAAAAAAAGAAATAAGATGAAACAAAAATACAGTCCCTTATAAAATAAAAACTGCAGGAAGCCTCTTAATGACTTCTGCCATGTTTTGACACTGCGTGTGCGTCCCCTTGAGGTGCACAAAAGGCCACAGGAAGGAAGCTGAGGCTGGAGGCAGAACAACTGAAGCTCCTCCCTGCCATCCTCACCTTGTCAGTGACTTTAAGACAGTTCACTGATGGTGGAAGGTAGCCTCGCTCGACTGCTTCTTTCCATCACGAAACGAGGAAACTGTTCTGCAAGGATTAGCTCCCAAACCCCCAGATCAAGTTATAAGTAAAGGAGGATTCTCTCGCAAAATGAAAAGAAGCATGTAGTTGAGAAGCAGATAAGAGTAGAGAAGAGAGTGCAGTGGAAAGTCAGCTGCATGCAGGTTAGTCATATGGTCGGTGTAAAAGGGAATTGGAACGAGTACTAGGACCTTTTTGAGGCCGACGTTTTCTCTAAAATTGACCAAAAATATTTTTGTCTCATGTAACAAACTCAAATTTAAATTAGGTTTTTTCTTTTTTTTTGAGTGGTGCAAGCTGCCTTGTCAGATTTCAAGACTTGGAGCAACAGGCCCTATATTGAAAGCAGATTAAGCGGGCAAACAATCTGTAAGTAACACATTCGCACAATTCTGTTTGCCTTTATTTATATTGGTTCCGGCATTAAGCTCAGTGTGTATAATAATTAATTCTACGGGGAAGTTTCCTCTGAAACTAATTATGTGTAAAGATTATCTTAAACTTGATTGAGTACCGCTGCCATGGTACTTTCCAATCTCAACATGTTTTGCTATTTCTCAATAGGAGCCTCACACCTAACTGTTGTCATGACTCTGTCATCTGCGTCAGTATCCACTGTCCAAATTTCAAAAATGCCGTTCTGGCATTTTTGAATTTCACGCGGTAAGAGCCGACTCTAAAACACCCATGATAAAAATTTAAGCTTGGTATGTGCGCACACAGATTTTTCCGGCTCATTTTACAGCCAGCCTCACGTTCTCCATGCTATACTATATACAAAATGTTTTGTTTTTAGGCTTTATAGATTTGATTTAAAAAAGCCATGAAAGCTACACTGTGCACGTGAGTTACACGGCCAGGAGGACACATTATAGGAGGCTAATCGTCACGATAAGTAAGGTGAACAAAATTTGTTAATGAGCTCTTTAATTAGTGAATATTAACATATAGTTTTAATTCGAAACTTGCCAATCGTCATCAAAACCCCTAAATCAGTCAATTTAATAAAGGTTTGGAGCTTGTAAAAAGTGTAGTGGCGCACTAAAGCTACCCTCATGCAACAGGCGCAAGGCTGCACTGCTAAAATGCTGATGTCAATCTCATCTTTTTTTTTTGCATTGCCAGCCTCGCACATGCTATACAAGTTGTAACTTCAAAGCGTCAGCGTGCTTCCCACGCGCTTCCAATTTTCCTTCAATTTAATGGTTTTCGATGATACTAAGCAAGTTTATAATAAGAACCAAACATTTATTTTCCCTAATAAAAAAGTGAATTGTTCAACTCATCGTGACAATTAACATCCATTACATACCCCTGGCCGTATAACTCAGCTGCACACACCGGATTAGCGCAGCGTTCGTGGCTTTTTTAGAACATACCTGAAAAGGCTAAACAAAACACCCGCCATATATAGCAGAGTGCTCAAAGCAGTATAGGGTAATAATAAACTGGTTGACTGGAGGCAGTGATAGGGAAAGATATTAAAGTTAAGGCCCCTCATTAAGCTTAGGGGCCGAGATAACCCATTACTTTCAGCCTACTTTTGTTTGGGGCTTTCTGCTGGCAACAACAACCACACACACTTGCCATTTGCTTCACCCAAATACGATAACTGGGTTTTCACCCAATCTAAATAAAGAAAAAGATTATACTCTTAGATATTGCGATTTCGACTTTGTTTTACCCCCAAGCAGCATGCACCGTTAGTGACATATCACCGAAAAAAAACAAGATATTGATATTTGTTTCTGGGTTTTCATTACACGGTACTAAATCCCAAAACTATATCTCTCCTTTGAGGATACCAAGACAAAGTCCGGAGGACTCACTAGGACGTAACCTCCAGGACCCTGGCTCCTGACGGTAACCCCGAGCCACTGGTCATCCTTGAGGATTGTGTTTTCTGGAGCTGCAAGGCACGAAAAAGAAAAAAAAAAGAAAAAGGCATCAGTCACTCTTAACCAAGTGGGGCTATCTGGCAAAGCTAAAGAATCTGAGTATGGAAACCGTTCGGAGACATGCACTCTGCTGCATTTAATCTTAGTGAACTTCCGCCCCACTTAATTTTGCGCACGGTGTTCGTACGACACTGTAACGCCACGTGACACTTAAATTACCGCCAAACGTCGCTAATAAATTTTCTGCAATATTTTAAAATAATTTTCTGATAAATGTGGCGGGAATTTGCTCCCGTGACGTCAAAATTTCCCGCTGAATTAAGAGAACAAGTTGTCCGCTAAATTTAATGGGAATGTAACGTCACAGGACGTCACTTCATGTGAAGTCAGAATTTCCCCATTAAATGTAGCGGAGAAATATTCCCGCTAAACTTCGAGGGAAGCGTTTTCCATGACGCAAGTGTCACGTGACGTGGCAACATATGACGTCACCGCCCTAAACGTAAAGCACACGGGATCGGCTGCAATAGTTGGCGAATAACTGCCGTCGGCACTTGTCCTTCTGCAACATTGTCCCCAACAAAGCGGTGAGCCCCGTTGAGTGCGCTTCTTCCCGTGCTTCAGTGTACGGCAGAGAAGCGGCACACGCGGAGCGAGAACTGCGCGAAAGGCCGTAGTAGCCTCGACACCTGGCCGAGGTGTGAAACGGAGTACAGTTTGGTGATTTGCACCAAGGTGCGTATTCGGAAGAGCTTGTGGGAAAAGTCAACAGGCCCATTTCGGCACTGATTGTCGCGTTTGCATGGCTGTCACAGCGCACGATTTACGGGGAAGAAACCTAAGAGGAAAAGGGGGGCAAAGCTTAGGTAAACGCCCCTCAGCGATTCACTCGCCATACTCCGCGACAACTTTTCTTGGCAATGCAGTGGAAGGTACAGGCCCGCTTCCCCTCTCTTATTTTGAGTGTGCGCGGGCTCTCCTCCTCCTACAGGCCCGCGTCCCCTCTCCCATTTTGAGTGTAGGCAGGCTCTCCTCCTCCCCCATTTCCGGGGAGAGGAGGAGAGCCCGCGCACACTCAAAATGGGAGAAGGGACGCGGGCCTGTACCTTCCACTGCATTGCCAAGAAAAGTTGTCGCCGAGTATAGCCTTTAGCCTGCTCTCAGGTCTGCTTACGCTTGCCGAAATTATCCCGCTGATTTAATCCACAAGCTTGCCGAATACGCCACCGGGGCCTAAGCACCGAACTGCGATAATAGTCGTACTCCCGTCAGGTCATCGAAACAAAACTGATTTTACAAAAAAAAGAAAGAAAAAACGTTTTTAGCGTTAACAGTGATGTGACTGGCCCAGTGGCGTACCAACTTGTTTTTGAGTGGGGGGGCAAACCAGACCCTCTCCCCCCCCCCCCCCCCCCCAAATCGAAAATTCGGCGCAACTTTTGTCCAACTTTTCTAAAGATTTGGCAATGATTCGGCAAAATTACAACGTTACCAGACTTAACATTGATATTTTGTTTTTTCTCACGAAAAAAATTTTGCTTCTTCTTAAAATAAATACAACTTGTAGTGCCTATTGAAAGAGTTATGACTAAATTGATATTCTAGAAGATAATTGTATCGATGTCGCTTTTGTGTGTTTACTTGTAATTTTGGTGTATGCTTCCAGAAAGTGGCGTGACAACGAGGTTGGGTAGTAGCCGGCACAGTCACGAATCACACTACGAGAGCTTTGATTTTGAGGCTTCATCAGCGCACGCCTGCAAGTGTGTTTACATTGTTAAAATAAAGGCAATCACTGCGTTCTTACTTTCTCTGGTAGTCGCCGTTTCGTGCGCGAAAACGGATGCAACGGTTGCTGAGCCTTCTCCAGAAGAGATAACAATATTGTAAATATGCATGTTTTTCGATTCGAGTCACTTGACGTCAGCTTTGCATGAAAGTGCGCGTTCCATATTCGCAACGTGCCGTTTTTAACCTTTAAAATTCCGGTTTCTGGTGTTCGGACACACACGGACGTTTAGGAAGATGGGGAGAGTTAGGAATGGTCGGATGTGCAACGTCGACCATGATAGTTCTGTGTTTAACGAATATTTTTCATCAGTGTTTACTAACGAGTGCTTGGACTCCGTCCCCACTCTCCCTGAAGAGCTTTACGAGCGCATGCATCCTATTAACGTTAACTCCGCCGGTATTATAACATTGATTGATAAACTAAAACTTACTTCGTCCGCTGGAACCCATAACATCAACTCTAAAATTTAAAAGAAACACCAGTGTTAGTTCGAGTGAGTATTTAAAACTTATCTTTATTCAGTCCTTATCTCAAAGGTGCCTTCCATCTGACCAAAAGGTGGGAAGGGTAATTCCCAGTCTTTAAACAGGGCAGCCGCTCTTCCGCATCTAATTATCACCCTAATTCATTGACTTCAATTTCTTGCAAACTACTTGAGCATATCCTCTACTCCAATATCATGAGGCACCTATCATCCCATTTCTTTTCTTTAAACAGCAGCACGGTTTTCAAAAAGGTACACTCTCCGGCAATATGAAAGACCCACTGGGAGCGCGTGGCCGAGGCGGTGGCTGGCGGGGGCGCAGCGAGCCCTCCGGGCACTTCCATTCTGCTTCGAGGGGAGGACGCTCACTCGGGCTCAGATAAAGCGAAACGCGCTTATCAGTTTGTGCCGAGTGCCGAATGAGCGTCCTCCCCTCGAAGCAGAATGGAACTGCCCGGAGCGCTCGCAGCGCCCCCACCAGCCACCGCCTCGGCCACGCGCTACCAGTGGGTCTTTCATATCGCCGGAGACTGTACTTTCCTGCGAAACACAACTCTGCGACTTCATCCATGACTTGCACACTAACCTTGAACCTTAAACCTTGAAATGAAAAAACTGACGCAGTTTTTTTTTTTTTTTTTTTCAAAAGCGTTCGGGCGTGTTTTTTATCAACGCCTTCTTTCTAAGCTATCATCTTTTTGCCTCGACCAAATAACCGTTTGCATAGATTCGTGACTTTCTTTTTTCCCGTGTACAGGTCACGTCCATGATGATCATGAATCTTCCTTAATAAATGTATCTCCTGGTGTTCCCCTGGGGTTCGTACTTGGGCCCTTACTCTTTTTAATATTTATTAATGACATCCCCATTGGGATTTCTTCAAAAAACCGCTTTTTCGCCGACGACTGCGTCATCCATAACAAAGTAACTTGTGTGCAAAATAATAACCAGCTTCAGGAAGATCTAGAGAAAATTAACAATTGGTGCAAAGAGTGGATTATGACATTAAACAAGTATAAACGCAAACTAATCCACTTCACCAAGAAAAAAACAAACACTATCATTTAATTACTTCTTGTACTCCGATCTGATTGAGACCGCTACTGTGTATAAATACCTTGGTGTAAGACTAACATCTGACCTTCCCTAAAATAACCACATTGAAGTCATTACTGCCGATTCATCTGGAACTCTTGGACTAAGCAGACGTAACTTAAAAAGGGCTCCACCCTTTGTTCGTAAGCTAACCTTGGACACGTACGTCAGACCAAAAATAGAATATGCTTCAACCATCTGGAATACCCATCGACTGTACCTCATCAATACCCTGTAGAGGCAGTTCAGAACAGAGCTGCTCGCTTAATTTCATCCACTTATGACTTTTTTTTTCAGTGTCTCAGCGCTAAAAACTGAACTAACCATGTCCTCTTTGCAGCTTCGCAGAAAAGTCTCTCAGCTGTGCTTTATTCACAAAATCTACTACCACATTCCCGACCTCAAAACCACTTTGTTATTACCCCCCGACCGAACATCTTCTCGCCTCAACAACGTCTGCACCATCAAGCACATTTCTGACTCTACTAACGCTTCCAATTGGTCATTCCTTTCTCAAGCCATCAGCCACTGGAACAGTCCCCCATCCTCCATTGTCACCATCTTGGACCCTGCTGATTTCTCCTCTGCAGTAAAACTACACCTTTCTTGGCCCATGTGATGGTGTACGGGGCTAGGCAGATAGGTGAAAACCCTTACGCAGAGCGCCTGCCGGGCCAGACTTGTACGTAGTTCAACTACTTTACTCAAGTTACTGTATTTTAACTACTTTTCTGGGTAGTTTAGTAACTTTTAATTACATTTATATTCTAGTAATTCGTAGTTTACTTTAACTACTTTTCCGAGTGACTTCCACTCAAATTACAAATTACTTTCTAATTTTAGTGGTTGTTTTGCCTATCAACACAGAAAAGATTTCGGAAGGTCAGCTGATATTTGCAGAGGGGGAAGCATGCGGAGTAGAAAAGGGGGGGATGGGAAGAAAGAAGGTGATTTAGATAGTCCAAAAAACCCCAAAATTTTAACGAGCCCCCCCACTGTAACAACACTGCTACGAGGCGCGGGGAGCGAACAGACACGACGCAAGAGAGGTCGAGTAACTGTGGGATTAGCTCCGAATAGTGGCGTTTCTTTGTATTCCGAAGCTCAAAGAGACTTGACGCATTTGAAGAAAGGGCTTGTCCCCGCTTCTCTCCAATGTAGGAATTCTTGCCCACTACAGGAGGTGCACACACTGCTCCTTTTACGGTGCAGGCGATAGAACCCCTAACAACGACGCTCACGCCGGATGGGCTGCTCGTGTATCACTCGAAGCGCGTTAACCCACCCCCGCGCCTGCGTTCACGCCGCTTCGCGGTGACGGTGTGCGGCTGCTAATTACAAATCTATTAACCCACCTAGCCCCCCCACCCCCCGTACACGCCGCTTTGCGGCGTCCGGTCGGCAACCCAAGCCCCGCTGCCCCCCATGCACTTCCGTAAATAGAGTCGATACGATTTAGTTTAGCGATGTTTCGTCAACAACATTCGTTTTTTTAGTGTTAATGGTAAAAAAGAAATGTAAATATCGCCAAATGCCTCGACAAAACAAAATGTTCGAGAAAAAAAATAAAAAGAAGTAAGCCGGCCCACACCATAAATAGAACCCGGGTCTGACACGTATGAGGCAGACATCTCACCACTAAGTTACGCTACCTCTTCGGAAACTCGCATTGCATCCGCTGCCTATGTTGACGGCGGCAGCGCCTATCTCCAAGCAAGCAAGCAAAACTTTATTTTGTGTATTGGCCTACGTCCTGGTCTGGACGGCCCGTCCGGCCCATGTCTCGCGGATGGATTCCGTTAGGTTACCGTGTAGCCTTGTTCGTGGAGCAAGGCTTTACGAACCAGCCAATCCGGCGTGCGTGAGCACCGTTGCTAGGGTTTGTATCGCCTGCGCGTTAAAAATATGCCCGCGCGGGTCGGGGGGCAGTGCCCTTGGTATTCCTTGGGCGCCGCCGGCCTGTGTCTGCTCTGCCCAGTGGCGGCCGTTTCAGGGGGGGCAAAACGCATGCCTTGCCCCCCCACTCTGAGAACTGGGGGGGCAAGTGCCCCCCTTGCCCCCCCGGTTGGTACGCCCATGGACTGGCCTAAGCCATTTTGGAGCACCTTTCGGAGCAGCTAAAACAGTGTTCGACAAAATTTAACTGAAGTTCGAATGTCGTGCGCATGCCCGAAATTTTGAAAACGAGTTGACGCCGCATGGACGGAAAACGTGCAATATTTGTTGGATATATTGTTTCATAGCTTCAGATAATAAACTAATAAAACTCCATTCCATATTTAGGGTTCGACACTGTCGAAGCTACTGGCGCAAGCATGTGGTTTCAAATTCCCTATTTCCACGAGAGAGCGCGCACATCAAACACTAATAGCGTTCACTGCACTCGTACCCACGCCTGACCACTGCATGCCAGCGTGGAGCAGGTTCGCTTCGGCCGGCACTACACGAGTGGCTGCACTCTCTGAGTTCGCTTCGGCGCCAACACTCCACGCTTGCATGCACTCGCTGCGCCGAGAAAATTGAGGGTGCGCCAAGATGCAATCCCGTCATGCCTCGCTCAGACGAGAAGCGGGAGCAGATGACGGGGGTTCATCTGCTACGTTGTGTCATTTGCACAAAAAAAAAAAAAGTTTTTGCTAGAACTTGCATTTCGCGGGCAACGGAATCAAATGCGGAATCGTGAGCGTCAGCTATTTCATGAATGAAGCAATAGACAGCCCGTGCTTTATTTCCAAGTCTCGAATCGCTCTGTCGCCGTGCAGACGCTGAAATCTACCAGTGCGTAAAAATAGACTCAGGAGAAACATATAACAGCGGCCGCGAGTTCTCTCTCACGGTGAAAAGTTAAACATTTGTCGACAAAGCTCCCCTAGCAGAAACCTGTGACGTGTTCAGTCAACATCCGGGAAAATTAAACATGGCGACTTTACCCAAAGCTTGGGCGAATCATGTTTAACGTTCCCCTGCGTCAGCTATCTAGCCCCGTCGAATTTGGTTTGAGAAAGCTCTCGATCTAAAAGTTTTTTCTCTCTCTCAACGCCCTCACCGAGGCTAAAATTTGATCCACCAGTAAACGACGATCGAAATCGAAAATCCCACGAAAGGTATTGCTGGATATTCTAACGGAGTTTTAAGACGTATCCTTTCCGTGGTTCACGGATAATACCACGCTTAATAAGCTTCTGCGAGAAAAGTATCATCAGTTTTCTCCAGTGTAAACGCCAGCTGTTTTGTAGTAAGCTGGTCGCGGAAACTTACGCCCTATGTAAATATAGCTTTACAACAGCAGAGTTGCTCGAAGCCATCGCAAATGCCAACTATACGTTGCAGCAACCAACGTCAATAATAAAAAAAAAAAAAAAAAAAAAAAGAACGATGTCAGCGACTGCCTTTTCCCATCCCCACCCATCACGTCGAACAGAAAGTCACTAGTTTCGGTTAAGATCGGTACTCTCACTACCACATGGCGACAGCATCAGTCTGTTCTGCACTCGGTGCATTTGGCAAGTTAGTTCGAGGCCGGTTCTCGTGCAGTGCGATGCATTCTGGGAGAGAACTCGCACGGTGCCTCAGTTTTCAGAATTCCGCTACGAATTGAGGAAACGCACATTGTGCGCATTTTGCAAAGAGGTGTGTTACCCGTCTTTTCTTCCTCGATGGGTATCTGCTTGCAGTCCTGCAGCCAGGTGGTCATGGGGCACTTGTACACGGCCCCGGAGCGGTTCGTGCCCGGCTGGCTCGTCTGCGCCCGGGGAGCGCCCACCAGGAGCCTGGAGGAGGGAAGACAGAAGGACGGCATGGTCACCTTTTTGTTTTCACTGCTACTGCGCTCCGCTTCAAGCCAAAGCTACGATCGAACCAATCAAGCAGCACCAAAAGTGGATCGTCCTGACGCTTTTCGTCTTTGTGCCTTTTCTACCACGGGCAAAACCAATCCCTCATCAGATCAAACTCAGTTTCGAAAGCTAGAGACCCCTCTCAAGTTTGTTCCTTTCCCTAAACCAGAAAACAAAGTAACCGTTCGACTTTCATGGACAGTTCTGGCTCGAACTGGACGTCCACGAGCTTCGTTGCCAGATGCGGTTTACGACTAATATTAAACCTCCAAACGTGCAAAAAAAAAAAAAAACTACGGCCGGATTTGGAAGTTTTGCTTCACTGCACAACAGCCGTGCAAATGGCGAAGCCCAGAAACCAACGTTACTAAAACACTCAGTTGGGAAACTCCCATAGAGACAGCTTTGAAACAATGGCCCCAATCTGTCTCCGAGCACCGAGCTAATGACGAACACAACGCCACCATTTCTCCCGCAGCGGCCACTCGAAGAACTGCACGTGACTTCTATTTTGGCTTTAAGAACAGATACAGCGGTAGAGGTTACAGGGGTGCCACCCCCCTCTCCCCGGCGGACGCGCCGCGTTGAGCTCATGAAGTTAAAATGCACCTAGGGCGGGACGTGCTACCTGAAAGGCCCGCTGAGGCATGGTTGTTTAAAAACAATATTAATTGTGCCGCAAAACCCTGCAAACTAAAGATGATAAAAACATCACGCGCCCATCATTTAGTACTAAACTCCAATAAATTTCATACAAAAAGAGTATTTTCCGTTTGTTTTTACGCAAAAACAGGCTTTCAAAAAGCTCGAAGTGACCATAGTACAGACAAACGATAAAGAGTGGCGCTGTTGTCGCATTTAGCTCGGTCTCGGTGGACGCCAGCGGCCCAGGTTTCGACGGCGAGTTTCCCAACTGAGTGTTTTAGTAACGTTGCCAGAAACATTCGCGTCGGCCAATGGCGATACAGTTTTCGAAAATAAATTGGGACGGTTTTTTAGCGTAAGTATTGCAAGACATCGCTGAGTACGAAGGATGTGGCAAAAAGATGCCGTATAGGTCAGGCAGAACTGACGTAAGTTATTACAAAGAAGTCTTCAGCCGCACAACGCTCTCCCTGCTGCGACTGCACTGCAGTCACATTGAAGGTTGTTGTTTTCCTCCTTTCCCGCACCTTCGAGAGTTCCATTACGGAGCCAAGCTGGCACTATAACCACGCTCGGATTACTTATCATTTTTATCGGAAAGCTCCAACGCCACCGAAGGTTGTTATGGAGACCAAAGAAGCTATACTCGCACGGAAATATGTCCCGAACTAGGCTTCCTCTATGGAAGGCTCCGCGAGGAACAGCTCCAAAAATGTGATTGATGAACGCCGTCCCGTCTTCGCAATACGCAATATTGCCCGCGTTGCATTCATCGAACAAGCAACAACAACAAAAGCGCCGACCAACGGCCCTCGGTTTCTCTAGGTCTCGTGAAAAATGAGCGTCGCGCAGACTTTTCACGCGGCAAATTTACACTATATAATGCCGACCCCCCGAGCCAGCAGAAAAGAAAGGTCTCCTAAACGTGCCACCAAATTAACTGTAAAGCGCGTTGGTAAAATGTACACAAAAAGAATAAGCTCGGGATAAGGGACGACGAAATATCTGCTCGCCGTCCCGATTGTCCCGAGCCTGTTTTACGGCCGCATTCTTAAACGCTACTCGACTCTAACTGCACTCAGTCGAGTGGAGGCCAAATGTACACCTCCACCCCAGAGGCATTCGGCTTCACAGACGCTTCTCGGCGATTCCTCCGCGGAGCAATTCCCGGAGATGTCGTACTCCACTCCACAGTTCCCGAGGATGTCTGGAGACGATCGAGATTATACCCACACGTTTCGTCTAAAACATAATTTTGGTGCAAAGTGTGAATATGTCTGTTCGTTATGTTTCAAAGAATCTGCTTTACAAGCACTGAATTGGTGCGTTTCAAGCTATTCTCTAGCCAGCGTGAAATGTTTGGTTGCTTTATCGTTAAAACAAACACAGGAGCTATCTAGTCTAGTCTGGCAACAGTGTGGGTAAAATAACAGCTGTCAGTTTTTCCTCTTCCGAATTCGACTAAGCATCACGCCTTTTCGCGTACTGGTCTCTTAGAAGAGGGGCGTTCTGCATTGCGTTGTTTTAACTGGATGCTGCTAATTAGCCCAGTTCTCATCTTCGGCATGCCCCAAAATGCAACCGTAAAAAAAAAAAAAAAAAAAAATGAAAACAGCAAGCAGTGGTGCCCACTTGACGATATGGCTCAGATATTTTATGTATTTGTGCTGGCGTGAATCCACAATCATGTGGCACTAACAGCACAGTGAATGTGCCAGTGTACAGTGAACCCCACATATTCAAAATGCTAATTTCAGTGCGACCTTTGAATTTAATTAATTATTTATTTATTTCGATAGTTTGTACGTGCGCATTCTTTCCGTGTCAGGTAAACAAGAAAGTGTCGGAAGAGAGGAAAGAACACAACGGTCGCAACTTTTCATTGTCTGACAGCTTAATTAACGTTTCTATCGACAAAGGCCGCTCCCTTATCGGCAGCGACTTTTGATAGCCACCTCAGAATTGGTTCAACACATTTTTTGACAGATGTGAACTAATAACTGAAATTACAAGTCGCTATGATTTTCTTTTTTTCTTTTTTTAAATTATTGAAGTTTTGAACTTGGTCCGAGGCGCTGAGAGGCTCTGCTGGCAACGCTCAAAACGTAATATAAAAAAAAAAAAAAAAAAAAAAAAATCGGTGTTTTTTTTTAGGCTAGGTGGCGCAAGCTACCGCCCGTTATCATCCACGTTGCAATATGGGGCAATACAGCTCGTTCTCAGCCGGTTAAACTAGGTATGATGGTGTGAAATTAATGCTAAACAAGCTCAAGGCAGCAAAAAAAAAAAAAAAAAATAACACGAGTAAGTTACCTAGTTTTTGTGCGCTGGATTCACACGTTTTACAACGTATGACGTCACCCCCCTGGAGCGCGCGGGAACATTTGAATGTTGGTTTTGGCATCAGGTTCATTCGCCGACTTCTCGATAGCTATTTTGAATCTAGAGATAATAGGAAGCAGGCCGGAAAGAAGAGCCAAGCCTGGGTATTCCGGAAATGTGTTTGGGTAGCGGATTCCGTCAGAGAGCCCACCCGACAGGCGCTCCCACGCACCGCTTCGAGCGTCGTTTGCGAACACTTCCGGACTCGGTGGGCGATCTCCTTGAAGACCACAGATGAAGTCAACTGACCCATCGGGCGTGTCAGTCCTTCTGACAGTCGCCCCTTTCCTCGGCCTGCTTCGATACGTCCTAAGGCACCTGGTCTAAGTGCAGCAAATGAAGGAGGCGAAGGGGATCGGCAGCAAATCGGCGCAGCGCCAGCTGTCTTGCGTCGGCGCCAGAGCGGCCTGCAGCGTCTCACAACCAACCCGATGGCGGCAGGCGGCGACGCCGAGACGCAAGCGTCGGTGCCGCTTGCCGCGTAATCTCGTCGGTTCCGTTTGGGGCGGGGATCTAGTAACGATGGCGTAATGCCTTGTCTTTTATGTAATACTGTCATAGCATATATCCATGCAAAGCTTTAGAAAGGCTGCAGTTTTCGGTCTCTAATCTACTTTAAATCTTTGTGCTGCTTCTTCGCTCGACGAGTAAAGCAACTGCCAACGATGTGTGCAAAACACACGCACGCACGCAGGCACGCACGTAGACGCACACAAACACACACGCGCGCGCACACGCACGCACACACACACACACACACACACACACACACACACACACACACACACATATATATATATATATATATATATATATATATATATATATATATATATATATATATATATAAAACCGCAATGTACTGCGTGGTACGTAATGCGGTTTATTTTATTATTTTTGTCTTCGTACGGTTGCACCTTACATCTGAACGGTATCTCCAAGGTCCCGAACAAAAAGCAGATCCGGGATTCACGAGCAAACGCACACACGCACAAGAAACAAATGGGGGCGAACACTACTCAGAGTAGCGGGCGACACGACTCAAAGTAGCAGACGACAGCGCTGCAGAACTCACGGATGACAGCGCTAGCCACCGCCACTCTGTACTCCAAATAGGCTAAAGCAAATAAAACAATCAAAGTAAGAAAAAAAAAAAAAAGGAGCAGCTGGAACGGAAGATTACGATGGCCGCAGCTCTCCTCCGCAGTCATAGCGAGTTATAAACAAACAGAATATCCGCTGGGCGTCTATTTTGGACATGGCCCTCGAATTCCGACGCTTTCGCCGGCTAAATTCGGTCCGGCACCGCACTGACCCGGTCAGAAGGCTCCCTTTCCTGTTCCTCCTCCTTGACTCTTGGCGTCATTCGAACTATTTTCTATGTGGATGTGACAAACTCGCCAATCAACTAAAATAAGAAAAAAAAAAGTTTTGAATTACAGACACAGCGTAACCGGCTAACTTCATTGCAGCAGACGAAACCAAAACAACGTGCGTGTGCAAAGAAAGGTCCAACGGGTCTCGTAACAACAGCATAAAGCGGAAATTTCGCTTAGCGCATTAAGAACAAATTATAAAATTAAAATGCAGACGTTTCGTATCGTATTCTGTAGTCATGGATTATTTTCCAATTTGCCCCAAGCTAAACCTTTCTTTAATAAACGTCCGGGAACACTGTTCAAAAGGTCGAACTTCTACAATTTTGCCAAATGCAGAACCATAAAGATTATTCCGACAGATTCCACTGACTGATTCAACGGATATTCAAACTGAAGCACAGAGCCTGAACCACTAATTGCATGGTTGTACTTTTAGCAAAATGGTAAAAGCAGTAAAAGTTCGACTTTTACAGGTTTTGCCGGTTTTGCCGCACCTTGTTTACTCCTTAGTTTGTACGAAAGCCCCAA